ACAGACAAATCCCTGAGGAAAAGGTCAGGGGTCAAATGGCCTCAGGGGGGATTTCCTTCAACGGCAGAGCAGCCTTAACACACACACACACACACACACACACACACACACACACACACACACACACCCACACACACACACACACACACACACACACACACACACCCACACACACACACACACACCCACACACACACACACACACACACACACACACACACCCACACACACACACACACACACACACACACACACACACACACACACACACACACACACACACACACACACACACCTGTTCCTATCAGGTATCTTACAGCGCCACTAGAGCCGGGCTGAGGAGCGGCTCTCCCCGCTCACCTTCGAGCTGAGTCCGGTTCTGGTCCACCGGTCCGGGCCGAAAGTCCTTCACCTGTGAGGCGCGAACACCTTGCAGTCACTTCAGACGATCCTCCAGCTTCATCATGAGGAGCGCGAGGACGGCTGCTGCTTTCAAGCGCGCGCTCAAAGCTGGAAATAAAACCATCGAAGAAGCTGCAGAAACGTCTGGACGGACTTCTCGGGACTCGTCGGGGGTCCTCGGGACTCGTCGGGGGTCCTCCAGCGACACCTGGCGACCAAACCGGAAACTGCAGGCAAAATGGAGGCGATCCAGAATGTTTTTAAAATATGTAGAATGAAGGGGAAATTTTGTGCCATAATCCAAGATTATGGCACATTTTCAGTCTGAAAGTAAGATTCAAGAAAAATTCCCCCTTACCGACTCAGTTCATTGTTTGTTGGAACATTATTTATACAATAAACAAAGTGAAAAAATGTTGAAAACGATCTGTTTTTCTGCAAATATGTAAAAAGAAATCCAGATTCACAGCATTAACCAGAGGCAGACGATCTGTTTTAGTGTGAAAACGTAAAATATGATTTATGAAGTGGATAGAGAAATTTTTGAGTTGTTCATAATGTGAGTGGTGTTCATTAAGTCCATTGTAGTTTGAAAAAAAGAGTTCATTTTGACATTAACCATAAATTTTCTAGAAATAACTTGTAATTTTTCTGAGTTCATAAAGTCAAAGATTTTTCACTTTTGGAAATGTTCAGACTTACAAAAGTTGAAAGTTTTTCTAGAACGTTCTGAGCTTTATAAATCTATAACCAGCTGTGATCCTGACCTTCCAGTGGTGAAAGTGTCAGATCTGCTGCCCTCTGGTGGCTAAATATAGCATCTCTTGAAGAATAATCTCATTTAATCCGTCATAGAGGTTCAGATTACCGCAGGCCTGACTGTGATGCTACAGTGAAATGATTCAACTAAAGTGTAACGTGAGGAACAGTTTGGGTTGAGGCTCGTGTGTTTGACCTTTGAACTTTAAATGACAAATATTATCCATCTGGGTCCCTGGAAGGATGAGAAAGAACTTTTCCTCCCAAACTTTTATGGTAATAAATAAATTTTTATATGGAATTTGATGGCATAGAAAAAAAATTCTCCTTATTTATGGCACATAATATCCCACAATTATCAGTTTGCAATGTCCTGAATATTTTAATGATCAGTGGGTTCCAGGTCAGCCCAGTTTAGATTTATTAGCTAATAGAAGAAAATGAGCAGCAACAATTTGGGCTATTTAACCTGATATGAGAAAAAACGGGGCTCATTTCTCTAAGTCATATTTTCATCATGTTACGCATTTGGAATTCAAATGGAAGTGGACTATCAAAATAAAAGCTGGATGTCTCTGCTGCTGGTAAACATCTGTCTTCCTGTTTAAAGATGAAATGTTCAAGAAATGAGTAAACTTGAGGAACAATGAAAAAGAGGAGAAACGATGATAAACAGGAGAAACGATGATAAAGAGGAGAAACGATGATAAAGAGGAGAAACGATGATAAAGAGGAGAAACGATGATAAAGAGGAGAAACGATGATAAACAGGAGAAACGATGATAAACAGGAGAAACGATGATAAACAGGAGAAATGATGATAAAGAGGAGAAACGATGATAAAGAGGAGAAACGATGATAAAGAGGAGAAACGATGATAAAGAGGAGAAACGATGATAAACAGGAGAAATGATGATAAAGAGGAGAAACGATGATAAAGAGGAGAAACGATGATAAAGAGGAGAAACGATGATAAAGAGGAGAAACGATGATAAACAGGAGAAACGATGATAAAGAGGAGAAACGATGATAAACAGGAGAAACGATGATAAAGAGGAGAAACGATGATAAAGAGGAGAAACGATGATAAAGAGGAGAAACGATGATAAACAGGAGAAACGATGATAAAGAGGAGAAACGATGATAAAGAGGAGAAACGATGATAAACAGGAGAAACGATGATAAAGAGGAGAAACGATGATAAAGAGGAGAACGATGATAAACAGGAGAAACGATGATAAAGAGGAGAAACGATGATAAAGAGGAGAAACGATGATAAAGAGGAGAAACGATGATAAAGAGGAGAAACGATGATAAACAGGAGAAACGATGATAAAGAGGAGAAACGATGATAAACAGGAGAAATGATGATAAGAGGAGAAACGATGATAAAGAGGAGAAACGACGATAAAGAGGAGAAATGATGATAAAGAGGAGAAACGATGATAAACAGGAGAAACGATGATAAAGAGGAGAAACGATGATAAAGAGGAGAAACGATGATGATAAACAGGAGAAACGATGATAAAGAGGAGAAACGATGATAAAGAGGAGAAACGATGATGATAAACAGGAGAAACGATGATAAAGAGGAGAAACGATGATAAAGAGGAGAAACGATGATGATAAACAGGAGAAACGATGATAAAGAGGAGAAACGATGATAAAGAGGAGAAACGATGATGATAAACAGGAGAAACGATGATAAAGAGGAGAAACAATGATAAAGAGGAGAAACGATGATAAAGAGGAGAAACAATGATAAAGAGGAGAAACGATGATAAACAGGAGAAACGATGATAAAGAGGAGAAACGATGATAAAGAGGAGAAACGATGATAAAGAGGAGAAACGATGATGATAAACAGGAGAAACGATGATAAAGAGGAGAAACGATGATAAAGAGGAGAAACGATGATGATAAACAGGAGAAACGATGATAAAGAGGAGAAACAATGATAAAGAGGAGAAACGATGATAAAGAGGAGAAACAATGATAAAGAGGAGAAACGATGATAAAGAGGAGAAACGATGATAAACAGGAGAAACGATGATAAAGAGGAGAAACGATGATAAAGAGGAGAAATGATGATAAAGAGGAGAAACGATGATAAACAGGAGAAACGATGATAAACAGGAGAAACGATGATAAAGAGGAGAAACAATGATAAAGAGGAGAAACGATGATAAAGAGGAGAAACGATGATAAAGAGGAGAAATGAAGCGGTTCAGAGGCTCAGCTTTTATTTTCACAGTCCACTTCCGGTTAATGGCTAGCTGAAAGCTAAATGGTTAGCTTGTTAGCTAAATATTTAGTCTGAAACTGTAACATTTATAGATGACTGAATACAATGGTTAAAATATGACTGAAAAATGGATTCCTATTTTAAATTTGTTTCATTTTAACCACTTATTAAACTGGCCAGCGTTACAATCTGCACTCAGAGGAATCTCTCCAGTTCAAAGCTGGGATTCTGAGTTCATCCCACATCCAACAGAAAAATGTTTTTATTCTTTCATATCTGCTGCAGAGCGACGTCAGGGTGGGGCGGTTCAGGACATAATCTCTCTCTCCCACCTGCAGCTTCTCCTGCTGAAATGCAAAACTTTAATCAGTAACACATTTCACGACAAACTGGTTTTTATGTCCAGGGAAGCTGATGAATTCAACAGCAAATTTATTGCTAAAGAACAGCAGAAAACAAGAATGAAAATCATAATTTTTGACATTGATGCGTTTCCTGAAAGGTTGCAGGAGTTTGAACCAAACATGAGGTCAGCAGGTCAGACAGAGCGAAGATCCTCCGTTATCAGACGCTCCACACCCTGCAGACTTTATCTGCTCAGCAATCTTTACGTTTGTTTCTCTCACTGGAGTTAACATTTTCTTACTTTGATATTTAAACTTATTGAAAGATGATTTAATAACAGATTTTAAATTCTTTAAATAAAATATATTTATGTGTTTTATAAATAAAATGTTTTATTTATAACATATTTTATGATGTAAATAAACATAAGACAGAAAAATAAACATGTCTATCTTTATTTATGAATACAATATATAAATAAAACATGTTTTATTTATAAAACATGTTTTATTTATAAAACATAAATATCTCGACATATTTGTGTCTTTTGTTGTTGACAAGATGAATGTTGTTTATTTAGCTGGTTTTCATCTGCAGTCTGTTAGGTTATTAATATGAAAACAATATGTTACAGGCAAGCTAACAATCATAAGTGGAAGCATTTTGATCTAAAACAATCCTTGAAAACATATTTGGTTACATATCTGAACTGAATAAAAAGCCATAAGCCCCAACAGTTCACATAAAAATATACTTTTCCCATCATTTTAAAAGAGTAGAAAATAATTAAACAACATTGAAATGTTGTTATCCTGTCTGGTGTTTTATTCCAGCCATGAGGAGTTTCTCCAGGTGAGATAAGGTAACTATAATATTTCATACCAATAATTAATAACCTGGATGAGGCTTCTGTTTGGTTAGAGGTAATCCCCAGGAGATGCAACACAGTTAGCTACTGGAGCAGCATGACACACAGAGGGGGATGATAGCAGGGGGGCTGCGGCCCCGCCCGCCCCCCCGCGTGGCCCCCCCGCGTGGCCCCGCCCTGCGCTGGCGGCCGGCTGATAACACAGGAACAACAAGCCTGAAGCTTCGCGGCTCGTTTTCCCTCCAACAGGAATTATTGACCTTCATCTGTTTTTCCTTTCAGCCGTTTGGTTAAAGTTAGTTTCAGGGTCAGTGAGCCGTTTAACTACAGCACTGATAAAATGGTTGATTAAAGCCGAAGCGACTGCAGAGTCTGCACCTTGGTGACTCGGGGCAGGATGCTGTCCAAGAAGGAGAAGAAGCTGATCAAGGAGATCTGGGAGCGTCTGACTCCGGTGGCTGAAGACATCGGATCTGATGCTCTGCTCAGGTAGGACAAACGTCACCGACTCAACGTGATGGAGCGTTGAGCCGCTGTCCTAGTTCAAGTCTGGGATGGTTTTTGTCACACTGTAAAAATCAACAGTAATAATTTGGGTTATTTAGAATGTCATAAGATAAATCAGATTTTTACCATGTTATTCATTCATTCATAAATGCAACAATTCCAAACTAAACCTTCATATAGAAAATTAGTTTACAAGATGAATATTTAGTTTCTTAACTAAACATGAACAGATTGTATATGAAGCTAGTTGTTTAGCCTCTTAGCTAAATATGCAAATATTTAGTTTGTAAACTAAATAGCAAAATAAATATGTAAAATGAACAATAACTAGTTTGTGAGTTAAATATAAAATTTTCAAATGACTTACTTTATAGAAAATCTTTAGTTTATAATCTGAATGTATTAATTTGCAGCTAAATATTTAGTTTGCAGATTAAATGATTAATTTGTGGTTGAAATATTTAATTCGAACTGTTACGTTCATAAAGTTACAGATGAGGTGGTGAAAACATGACTGAAACATGAACATTATATCAAATGATTTAAATGATTTCCATCCATCTTTGGCTCGCCGTCTGGACCTGGACATCGACCCGTTCTTCTGTCCTGCAGGATGTTTGCTTCGTATCCCGGCACCAAGACGTATTTCTCCCACCTGGACATCAGCCCTGGCTCCGCCCACCTCTGCTCCCACGGCAAGAAGATCGTCCTCGCCATCGCCGAGGGCGCCCAGGACATCAGCCAGCTGACCGTCACGCTGGCGCCGCTGCAGACGCTGCACGCCTACCAGCTGCGGATAGATCCCACCAACTTCAAGGTCAGGCTGGGGTCTGTGGTCAGGGTCAGAGGTCAGAGGTCAGTAATTGTAACAAACTTTATCCTCTCCAGAAAGACGCATTCCTGGATCACCTGAGACTTTAATCTAAAGCCGTTTGTTTAAAACGTCAGAAAATACTCGTCTCTCTGCGGTGGTTCAAACCCCACAGTGAGTGGAGCCCACAGTGAGTGGAGCCCACAGTGAGTGGAGCCCACAGTGAGTGGAGCCCACAGTGAGTGGAGCCCACAGTGAGTGGAGCCCACAGTGAGTGGAGCCCACAGTGAGTGGGAGGGGATCCAATGACAACTCATTCGATGAACTTTCACCAGCAGGGAGGAAGTGGAACATGCAGGATATGTGGAACCCACTGAGGGCTCCACACACACACACACACACACACACACACACACACACACACACACACACACACACACACCACACACACACACACACACACACACACACACACACACACACTCCTCTGTTTTGTCTCTTTGCTGATTTGGTTTCTGGTTTTTGGTTTTTCTCTCTTTCTGCAGCCGTAGAAACAATTTTCTTCTCTTGTCCTGATTTTCCTCCTTTCTTTTTTTTTGCTCTTTGCTTTTGCTGCATTTCAAATAAACCCAAAGAAATGTCAAGTAGTTTTTTTGTATCTGTTGATCAAGTGAAATATCACGTCTGTAATGCTTCACTTGTGAAAGTGAATCTGTTGGGATTCTGTGACTGATGCACTTTTTTTATGAAATGTTTTAAATCGTTTATTTTCTCTTTACGTTTCTCAGTTACTCTCCAGTTGCACAAAATCTGGCTAAATACATAAAAACTGATTTTGGGAAATAATAAAATGTGGTAAAGTTGTGAAGGACTTCCATTTTATTGGACAACTTATTTATATTTAAATGTCACTTATCAATATATTTGCTGATCAATTCACCTAAACAACAGTAAATTATTTTATTCAGAAAATACCAATAATACTGACATTAATGGTTTTAGGGGAGTCATAGTAAAAGGGCTGGAATTTCATGCCACACTTTTCAGATTGTGTCTGTAAAAATATTAGAAAATGTTTCTTTTCCCCTTCAGGTGAAAAGAAATTAATTTACTTGGATCTTTAATTACATGTGATTAATTAATTTACTTGGATCTTATATTGTAAGATCCAAGTAAATTAGAAAAAGATCATAAAAACATTCAGTTGAAGTTTTGTTTCAATTGATCAAAAACCAAAACATTTTTTTTAATGAAAAGCATTTATTGATATTTAGAAATCTTTAGTTTGGACATGTAGAAGTCAAAGGTCAAAGGTTGGCTTGGCTCCACCTTGTGGCCACATGAAGTAAAACGTTCAGAAAAAATTATCTTTTGAATTTTCAGATTTGTAGAAATATTCTGTTTGAAAATCTTTTATATTTGGTTGTAATTGATAAAATAATAGATCTTTGTGGATCTTAGCTGTTCTTCTGCCTGCTGACCTCAGGCCAGTTTTTATAAACAATATTAATAAATCAAAACCTTTTCATCCTGATTCTTTTCTGAAATGTGAGCTCATGGTTTCTCCTGCAGCTGCTGTCACTGCTGCCCAGGTTCTGCTCCAGTTTTGATTTGTCGTGTTTCTCTCTCTCTCCCTCCTGCAGCTGCTTTCTCACTGTATGCTCGTCACGCTGGCCTGCTACCTGGGGTCAGAGTTCACGCCGGTCGCTCACGCTGCCATGGATAAGTTCCTGTCAGCCTTCGCAGCCGTTCTCTCAGAGAAATACAGATGAGACTCAGCAGCCACTGTTCTGCATCATATTTACATGTAAATGATTTATTGTCTTATTGTTTCATGGGTTTTGTTATAATAAACAACTGCAGGATAAATGAGTCATGTTTTGTTTTTATTGTATAAACATTTATTAAACACCTTGTTTGTCTTTCTTTGTGTCTTCTGATGAAATGCTGATTATGTTCATTACATTTTATGTTGACACATGTAATTACAGTTTTATGAAAATAAACGTGATGATAGAAAGATTTTAAAAATTGTATCTTATGAAAATTTTTTTCATGTTAAAAAGAAAATCTGACCTTAAGCACACTTACAAAAAAATTCCATGTGAAAACATGATTACATGAGATTTTCATGGGATTTTTTTGCAAGGGCATGAGTACTAATATATTGCGATTTCAGTGTTGATTCTAATTTCCTGGAGCTTATTGTGGTGCACCACAAGGCTGTGTGCTCGGTCCCAAACCTTTATTGTTATGGATCATGCAGATAGGCCTGTCACAATAACAGATTTGGCTGGGCAATTAATTGTCTCAAAAAATTATTGCGATAAACGATAATATTGCTTGAAGATCTTTATACACTGACATAACGTGACATAAATAGTTTATAATGATTTTCATTCAGTCAGACTGACAGTAGCCACATGCATTGCAGGTAGATTGTAGTAAGGAATTGATTAATGCCTGGTTTCAATATTAGTGAACTGGACTTATTATTTTGTGTTCATTGTTGGACACAACACGGTTCGATCAAACCGTTATAGCGATGCTTTCTGTCGGCTAATGTGTCTCTCAGGTTTTGATAATGAGTCGACAATGGGAGACATCCGATGGTGCAGCGCGCTGGGCATTACACTAAGAAATAAGGAAGGGAGGGTCAGTGGAGTTGAGCCTTTTTTCATTCATTGTCATCAACAGTAAGAGAAAAAGACAGGAAGAAACGATATAGACAATAATTGAAATGAGGTCGATAGTTTTAATTTATTGTGCAATTAATTGATTTATTGTTTATTGCGACAGGCCTACATGCAGAAACATAAACATTTCAGATTAAATAACTATTAATGACATCAATAGTTGTTGTGAAGTACATAATTCAGAGACTGAGGTCCAGACAGAAGTCAGGGAGCAAAAACATCTTTAATACGTCTGCAGACAGAGAGCAAAAATCCACTGCATTAGGCGAAAATCAAAATCTGCTCTAAAGAACCCAGAGTTGCACAGTTGCTTTATTCACCTCTCTGCTAACAGAGACTCAATCTGCTAAGACCAAACAAACGAAACAAAGGAAAACAGATGGAACAGTTCAACCTTACACCCTCGTTCACTATCATGTCTACGGGATGCAAAAACTAAACTCTCTATCTGCATGCAGGGAAAAACAGCAAGTTTCCAGATAACCCGACTGAAACTTCAACAGACATCTTGTTTAATTAGTTTGTCCACCCTCTGCAGCTGCATGAAAAAACATCTTCACTATGCTACTGTATGATGCAAATAAAAGATTTTCTCTTTAAAGACAAATCTACTTCACATTTCATTAATAGTTAAAACTGAGTAATTTATTAAACTTCATAAATCCTCTAAAATTTCCAGCCAGACTTTATTCACATGTTGGAAATTATATAACCAAAATGTGAACTAATGTATGTTTGAAAATGTAAAGGCCGAAATATATAAAAACATTTACATCAGTTGTAAAAGAAAACCAACAGTAGAACCATGATGAGGGATTCAGATGATGAAAAGTTTTAATCATATTGAAGATTTTAAAAAACAACAAAACTTTTCCAAATTTGTCAAAAATAGTAAATTGAGCAACAGCACCGCCATGTGGCCGATCGGCAGAATGCTTCCTACAGAAAAACCTCCAGTCTCAGGTCCAGTGAAAAGGTTGACTTTTGCGGCCTAGTCAAAGTTTAGCGTTGAATCAGCTGTTATTCCTCAGATTATTGAGATTATTTATGTTGTCTGTCTCTGGGGAATTTATGTTTTGTGAAAAACATTTTTTCCAGATCTATTCAACTTGTTTTTCCTGATGATTTGATTTCCTGTCAGATGAATTTTTAGATTTATTTTGATTTTTCAAACAAAGCTCAGCTGATCTGATCGGTTCATCCAAACGGCGCCTCCTGCTGGATCAAACCAGCAACTGCAACGTTCGGGTTGGAGGCTGAGGGACAAAATATGTTTCTGAAATTCATTTGAGTTTTCCTTCTCAAACAACAAATATCAAGCCATTAATAATTGATCTTTATAATTATTATTGTTACTTTTGCACTACAGATAAATCAGAAATACATTCGTTATGTTTGGATTTATTATACTGAATTCAAATTATACAAAAATAAAAGTTTAATATATTATTTTGTTTATATTTTTGAATTATTTGATATTCTTAGTTTGACCCCAAACGGAAAACAGCTCAGAGTCTTAGAATCGACACTTATTATTATTATTATTATTATTATTATTATTATTATTATTATTATTCTCAACTAATTAATGTCGTAAAATAAAGATTAACAAGTTGTTTTGTTTTTCTGATTGATTTCTCAGTGATTAAATCGGAAAATGAATACTAATAAATAATAACTGAAAAGTGACGTTTTCGTCGTTGAAACGAATGAAACTTGGTTGATTTTATTTTTTGCAACATTTTTTGCGTCATGTTTGAACAGAGCAGTCAGGAGAACGTTCTGCTTTTCCTCAGCCTTTATTTCCTCCGGGAGGAGACGCGCCTCCCGTCGCGCGGCGCCGCGGGGAGTCGCGCGGCGCCGCGGGGAGCCGCGCGCGCTGCGCGCTGCGCTCCCGGGTTCGGGCCGCCGCCGCCGGGTTCAGTGGTACTGCTTCCCCAGGGCGGACACCACCACGGCCAGGAACTTCTGGAAGGTCGCCTGGACCTCCGGGGTGAAGCCGGAGCCCATCTTGGCGGCGATGACGATGGTCAGGCAGTCGGCCAGCAGCTGCGGGAGGAACGCAGCCGGTCAGCGGCGCCCCGCGCGCTGGGTGCGCAGGGAGCCGCTGGAGCGCCGGGTCCTACCTTGAAGTTGTCCGGGTCCACGTGCAGCTTCTCGGAGTGCAGCACGCTCAGCTCGGCGTAGGTGCTCTTGATGTCGTCCATGTTCTTGACGGCGCGGTCCAGGCCGTGCAGAACCTTGGTTCCGTGGGCCTGGATGTTCGGGTTGGTCTTGATGGCGTCAGCGTTGTAGAGGTTCCCGAAGCTGGCGAAGTACCTCTGGGTCCAGGGGTAGACGATCAGACACCTGGGGGACAGAGAGGCGGTGAGAGGGTGCGGAAGGCTGGGAGGACCGAACCGAACCGGACCGGACCGGTACCTGCTGAGAGCCTTGGGGCCCACATCGTTGTAGTCCAGGTTGGAGAAGATGGAGGTGATGACGCTGCGCTCCTGATCGGACCAGGCTACCATGGCGGCTTGTTTCTGCTTCTGGCTTGAGAGAGAAACTGAATGGATCCGCGGGCCGAACCGGGTCCATTTAACGGCCCGCGGGTTCCCCACGCCCTGAGGAGGAGGCCGCTGATTGGCTGGAGATAACCCGGACATCGCTCCAGAACCTACCAGAAAAACCTGGACTGAGACCCGAACCGACCCACGTTCACTATGACGTCATCATTGGGCTTTCAAGCTGACTGGAAATTTAATGTAAGTTCAGTTTAAACAATTATTTTAATTTCTTTTATGTGTTTCAATCCGTTGAATAAATAATCAATTTTATTTATGAAACATTTCAGACACAAAACTTTACTTCATAAAATATAAACATATGAAAACATCAAAATAAAAACATCAAAATATAAAAATATAAAAACATCAAAATATAAAAATATAAAAACATCAAAACTGTGAAAATCAGAAACAGAAAATTATATCTTGTCAAATTACATTGTTAAAATAAAAAAATCATAAAACATGATGATAATTTATGTGTTTTTAATGAAGTGATTAGAAAAAATTTTCATATCTGAAGACAAAAAGCAGAAATATGATTTAATATGATTTAAATCATATTTAAATCTCCAGAAGGAGAAAAAACAGCAGCTACCGATTAATGGAGCACATTGATTAAAAAAATAAAATAATAATAATAATAATAATAATAATAATAATAATAATAATAATAATAATAATAATAATAATAAATGAAATAGTAAATAATTATTAACCTGCTGCTATTTTTTAAAATTACATTTTATTTCCAAAGTATTTTGAAACAAAACATTAAAACTAATAAAACAGAAATCAGAACAAAACATTAAAGTGATATTATAATCATCAGCATCTGGTTTTTATTGAATATTTAACAACGTTTTTGTTTTAGTTTCTTCAAAACGATTCATGTCATTTCTCTGCTGCAGCTGTTATCTCCCCGCCCAGCCGCCTCTTATCTGCACCACCTCCCCTCTGCAGGCGGTTCTGGTTCTGTTTGGACCACAACCAGAACCTGAACTCCCTGATAAAAGCTGCAGGCCAAGTTTGGAGCAAAGATAGCAAATTAATCCAAAAATGAGCAATTAAAAAAAAAATACAATCAAAGAAAATCTGAGAAGAAATCTGAGAGGATTTTCAAATATTCATATGATTAAATGTTAGAGAAAATAAACAAACATGTTTATGCTTCCCTGGGACTTTAATAAAATAACAATTTATTATTATTAATTCTAAAAAAATCCTCAGTAAATTTTTACACTTGATTTATTTATTCTGTTAATGACCTAATTATTAACCCATCATGAGTTAGTTCATCAGTTTATTTTCAGAGAAGAAATGTTAAAATAAGTTTTTAAAACTTGACATATTTTGATCCATTTCATTTTCAGGATCATTTATTTATTTATAATAAAGTCCTGAAGTCGGTGTTTGGACAAATAATTTAGCCTCTAAACCTTTCATGTTAGAACGTTCCACTGCCAGGGTTGCCCGTTATCTCCAGTGTTATTTGTCTGAGCTATAGATCCCTTGGCAATGATGATCAGAACCCAAACGGATCTATTTGGCATTCAGCTGGGAGACCAGGAGCATAGACTGGCATCGTATGCTGATGATCTGATAATTTTTTTGACAAATTTATCCGTTAGCATCCCAAATTTAATGCAACAAATAAAGATATTTGATCAGTTCTCTGGCTACAAATAAATGATTCAAAGTCCTCTATTCTATTTCTGAACAGGGATGAAAGACTGAACCCGGTTGTACAGACGCCTTTTATCAATGCAAGGGAGGGATTTGTGTATTGGTGTTAAAATCACCTCAGACATTGAAACAATCGTATCAGCAAACTATGACCCTCTGGTCAGTGAAGTAAACGAGTCACTGAATAATTGGATGACATTGCCCATATCGATGATTGGCCCGATAAATATCATCAAAATGAATATATCACCAAGATTTTTGTATCTTTTTCAGACAATTCCTTTGCCTCTTCCAAAACATTTTTTGATAGATTAAATGGTATTTTTAGTAGATTTATTTGAAATGATAAAAAGGTTGAGACTGTTGTACCTGCCATATGAGAGAGGGGGGTTACAACTCCCTAATCTTAAACTGTATTATTGGTCTGCCCAGTTACACTCAGCCATGTTCTACTTTTCAACTGAAACACCCCCAGCTTGGATGGAAATTGAACAATTAACAACAAACCTTAGATTAAATCTGTATTTGTACTCCGCAAAGCCAAAGCAATTGATAAAAATGACAAAGAATCCCTTTCTAAAAAACACAATTGATGTCTGGATCCATCAATATATTGGAAATGTATATTGATCCATTTCCTCTTTCTCACCCATCTGGGGGAACAGAGATTACAGCAGGAACAGCTGATGGAGGTTTCAAAAGCTGGGCAAATAAATAAACTGCCAGATCTTTATAAGGATGACAGGCTTCTTACATTTCAGCAATTATGCCAAATATATAACATTTCAAAGAAGCATTTTTACAAGTATTTACAAATTAAACATTTTCTTATGTCTAAACATAAAAAGATTGAACCCAGACCGCCACTGTCATACCTAGAAAATATTGTGCTAGAAAATCTAGAGAAGAGAGGTCATATTTATTTTATTTAGCTTTACTAAGGCATGATAAGGAATCCACTGCAGATAAACTGGATGCATGGAGAGTTGACATTCGAGAAGAGATACCAGTAGCGGACTGGAACACTGCATGAGTAAAGGCCCAAAAACAGTCAATCAATACAAGAATGAAACTCCTTCAATACAAGTGGTTGATGAGAATTTACATAACTCCATTTAAACTGAACCGCTGGGCACCTAACATCCCAGATATCTGCTGTAAATGTTTGGTTGGAAAGGTTCTCTCTTTCACTGCGTATGGGAGTGTCCAAAGTTACAGCAATATTGGAACTTGATTATGCAAACTCTGTCAGAAATCGTTGGAATGAATGTACCTGCTGAGGCCAAAATGTGTGTTTTGGGTATTTATCCGGAGAATTGTGTTTTTAATTCCAGACAGTTAAAATTGACTGACTTTGGACTCCTGCAGGCCAGGAGATTAATATCTCTATAATGGAAAAAAATGGACATGCCTTCAATTCACATGTGGGTGAAGGAGATGACATCGTGTGGCTCTGGAGAGACTCACTTACATTATCAGAGGAAAAGGAGAGAAATCTGAAGAAACATGGTCACCATTGACCGAGTTTCTGATGAAGGACATTAAGAGAACTGTGCAGAGATTGCTGAGTTTTTTTTTTATCATTGTTTATTATTGTTTATTTGTGTTTGTTTGATTTGGGGACTAAATTACTGAATGAGAATCTGTATTGAGTGATTCACTGTCACTTTTGTTTGTCTTATTCTTGTATGTTATAAAAATTCAATAAATTTGGATAAAAAAGTTTTTAAAAAAGTTCATTTGTAGTTTTTCACACATAAAATGACAAAACGTTGAACATAAAACATTTCAAACAGAAAGCTTTTAAACGTTTGAAACAGTATGAAATGTTGAGATCAAAATGAGGAAATAAAAACATTTCCAGTTTATTAAAATCCTCCAGAAACAGGATGAACCAGAAAACTGATTATTATTATGATCCAAGCCTCCCCACAGCATGATGCTGCCTCCACCGTGTCTCACTGTCAGATGTGAGTTTGAGCTCAGAAAAACTGAAAGTGAAAAAATCTTCAAACTGATCAGGATTTTATTTTTATTATTTATTTTCTTATTTGAATTGTGATTTTTTTTTTACGTCAGAGGACTGATATTGTGTTTCCGTCTCTCAGCTGTTCTCTGGTTGTGACCTTCGACCTCTGCCATTCAGTTTTTCTATCTTTGCTTCCAGGAAGCCGTTTGTTCCTGCTGGTGTTTCTGCGCCTCCCTCCTGATGCCGGCTGCTGATAGGGGCCCTGCTGCTGGCGTCCCGCCACCCAGTCTCCTATCAGGCGGGCCGGACTGGGCCGGACCGGGCTGCCGCGTCAGCGGCGACTTGGCACCGGCGCGGTGGGAGGGATGTCCGGGCCGAGGGGATTTAAACGGAACCGGGAACAAACGTCAGATTCAGGCAGAGACCGAGACGAGCAGAGATGAGTCTGACACAGAAGGACAAGGCTGCGGTGAAGGCGCTTTGGGCCAAAATCGCCAAGGGGGCGGACGCCATCGGGGCGGAAGCTCTGGCCAGGTAGGTGACCCGACATCCGGCCGCCAGAACCCGGAGAACCAGAACCAAGTCATGCAGAGTAGATCCACTGAACTAGAAAAGACAGTCATTTTGTTCACGGTTCCTCTGTTTCAGTTCTGATCGCAGACTGAAGCTGAAATGTTAATATTAACATTAACAGCAGAGCGTAGATTTCAGAGTTAAAGACGTTCAGCTCAGCTCCTGATGGAAATAAAACGCAGCAGAGTCAGGAAATGTAATATTTTATGATTCTTAAAGACTGATTTGACTTCTTCAGTCAGAGGCTCCAGAGCCGCTGTAATACAGACTGCTACAGGAGATCTGCAGCCATCAGTGTCTACAATAACTGAAAATTCAATTTATTCTGAGTTACAATAACATTGAATTTTCTTTTGGGATCAATAAAGTATTTTTTAATTTTATTTCATTTTTCTCCAGTAAATCAATTTTTTTTGTCTTCAAACATCTCATAATTCAGGCTTTGTGACCTTTGACCCCTGTTCTCCTGGCAGGATGCTGGTCGTGTACCCCCAAACCAAGACCTACTTCTCCCACTGGCCGGACCTGAGCGCCGGTTCCGGTCCAGTCACGAAGCACGGGAAGAAGATCATGGGCGGAGTGGCGCTGGCGGTGGCCAAGATAGACGACCTGTCCGCCGGGCTGCTGGAGCTCAGCGAGCTGCACGCCTTCCAGCTGCGAGTGGACCCGGCCAACTTCAAGGTTCTGACCCGTTCTGGCCCAACCAGACTGGGCCCGCTGCTTCATGGTGTTTCTGCTGTGACGTGACGGCGTGTTTGTCCGCAGATCCTGGCGCAGTGCCTGCAGGTGGTGATCGCCACCATGTTCCCCAACGACTTCACCCCGGAGGCTCACGTCGCCCTGGACAAGTTCCTGTCCAACGTGGCCCTGGCGCTGGCCGAGAAATACCGCTGAGCCGCGGCGGCAAGGCGCGCGGCAAGGCGCGACGCGGCAAGGCGCGACGCGGCAAGGCGCATTCTGAACAACCAAACAGCAATAAACAGTTTGCTGCCAACATGTCTGCTTCTTTTATTGACACTTTTCCTCTCAAAACCAACAAACGACAAACATCCAGCTTTAAACATCATTTACCTTCAAGCTGTAAAAATGTTACTAAATATTAGCTGCTAAATATTAAATTAAGAAAATGAATATTGAATAAGCATTTGGTTGGAAATTAAATATTTACTTTCTGAATTAAATATGTAATTAGTGACTCTGAAATTCATAAATGTGGGAATAATATAGTGAAAATATGACTTTGAAACATGAACACCTAAATAAACATATTTATGATTTTAATTTTTCACAGGAAACAGAAACTGTTCCCATAAACATTAACCTGTTTTTATTATTTCAACAGTGGCAAGAACATCCATGAAACATTATGAGTCAAAATTATGCAGAGATAAAGTTTACACGACAGTAAAGAGACAAATTATGACTTGAAGACGATTCGTAACGTCTGATCTCCCAGGATGAGCCTGAAACAGAGCCAGGTCGTCAAGGTCACAGCTTTTCAGAAAGCTTTGCTTTGTCGTACAGTTACATTACCTGACCAGAGCGGCGGCCAGCGCCCCGCCTGTAATGGGCCCCACCCAGTAAACCCAGTGGTAGGTCCAGTGGTTGGTGATCAGGGCCGGACCGAACGCTCGGCTGGGATTCATGCAAGCTCCTGAAATATCAGCTCTGTGTTTCCATAAAACAGGATTTAGTTACTCATTAAAATACCTACAAACAACTGATAAGAGATATCGGTAGATTTCCATATTCAGGAGAAAAAGTCAATTTTATGCATATTTTGGAACTATTGAGCAAAACTTGAAAAGCTCTTTTATCATAAATGTTTTTTGATCTTTGACTCAAACAAGCAGAAGAAAAATAAACGTTCCATAAACTTAATGTCATTGTTTATGTATTACATGTTGCACATTACAGTTATATTCTGAATAACGTCTCTTTAAAACTCCCCAGAACTCAGCGCCTCCTACTGGCCCCCTTCTTAACAAACCAGGTTGGATCTCATTGGTCAAAAAATTCAAGGTTTGTTTGTTTCTGAGGGATAAAACAGTTACTGTTTGATTATTCATCACAATGATGGATTTATCAACATGGAAGAAACAGGCTCACAATGGCAGGGCCATAAAGGTCATTAATGGGAACATTAAGGTCATTAATGGGACCATAAAGGTCATTAATAGGACCATAAAGGTGTTTAATGGGACCATAAAGGTCTTTAATAGGACAATAAAGGTCTTTAATGGGACATTAAGGTCTTTAATTGGACCATAAAGGTCTTTAATGGGACATTAAGGTCTTTAATTGGACCATAAAGGTCATTAATGGGAACATTAAGGTCATTAATAGGACCATAAAGGTGTTTAATGGGACCATAAAGGTCTTTAATGGGACCATAAAGGTCTTCAATAGGACAATAAAGGTCTTTAATGGGACATTAAGGTCTTTAATTGGACCATAAAGGTCTTTAATGTGACCATAAAGGTCTTTAATGAGACCATAAAGGTCATTAATAGGACCATAAAGGTCTTTAATAGGACAATAAAGGTCTTTAATGGGACATTAAGGTCTTTAATTGGACCAAAAGGTCTTTAATGTGACCATAAAGGTCATTAATAGGGACATTAAGGTCTTTAATTGGACCATAAAGGTCTTTAATGTGACCATAAAGGTCTTTAATGGGACCATAAAGGTCATTAATAGGACCATAAAGGTCTTTAATGGGACCAAAACGTCATTAACGGGACCATAAAGGTCTCTAATGTGACCATAAAGGTCTTTAATGGGACCATAAAGGTCTTTAAAGGGACCATAATGGTCATTAATAGGACCATAAAGGTCTTTAATAGGACCATAAAGGTCATTAATACGACCATAAAGGTTTTTAATGGACCATAACGGTCTTTAATAGGACCAGAAAGGTCAATAGGACCATAAAGGTCATTAATAGGGACATTAAGGTCTTTAATAGGACCATAAAGGTCATTAATAGGGACATTAAGGTCTTTAATAGGACCATAAAGGTCTTTAATAGGACCATAAAGGTCATTAATAGGGACATTAAGGTCTTTAATAGGACCATTAAGGTCTTTAATAGGACCATAAAGGTCATTAATAGGGACATTAAGGTCTTTAATAGGACCATAAAGGTCTTTAATAGGACCATAAAGGTCTTTAATAGGACCATAAAGGTCTTTAATAGGACCATAAAGGTCTTTAATAGGACCATAAAGGTCTTTAATAGGACCATAAAGATCATTAATAGGGACATTAAGGTCTTTAATAGGACCATAAAGGTCTTTAATAGGACCATAAAGGTCATTAATAGGGACATTAAGGTCTTTAATAGGACCATAAAGGTCATTAATAGGGACATTAAGGTCACTGATGCTAATAACTCACCCTGCCAGGATGTTGAACATGACGGTGCTGCCCACCAGAAACGGGCCGAAGGGCGTTTTGGTCCGGCTGTTGACCGCCACCATCAGCACCACCAGGGTCACCAGGCAGGTCATGGCCGCCTCTCCGAAGAGCGCCCGGTACAGCTGGCTCTCTGACCTCAGGAGGTCAAAGGCCGCCCCGCTGGCGTTGCTGAAGCGTTCTGGGCTGGTCATCAGCTGACAACGGAAGAACTGCTTCACATGCTGCTGCCAAGCAAACAGCGTCAGGACATTTTGCTGCTGATAGCACCAACCTTAGCCATGCCGGCTCCCAGGACTCCTCCGACCAGCTGGCTGACCAGGTATGGCGCCACCATCGCCAGCTCCATGCCGCCACACAGCCAGATGGCCACGGTGAAGGGAGGGTTGAAATGGGAGCCGCTTCAGCCAGGGAAGGAAAAACGTTACTGAACCAGATTCATTCACTCATCAGCCTGGCAGGCCACCAGGCTTCACTAACGTCCCGCCAGGCTGAGGGTTGCTTGTTTTCTATTAAAGGTATTTTACACCTGTAGCAGCGAAGAAGGTTAAAGAGTGTCTTTAGTGAGAAGCTCAGCAGGTCAGCATGCTGACTACTGCAGCAAAGTAAAAAAACTGCTTTAGTTTAATTCATCATTTCTTTAATGTTTGCCTTTTTAAGACTGTTATTGATGTCAAATAGCAAATAATTATCTGCTCATACTTTCACATGTCTTGTCAACTTTAAATTTTTTAAGTCAAAACCCAGCGGGCCGCAGGAGAACCGGCCAATCCTGAGGAAAGTCACCTGATTCTGTCCATGACGGCCACCAGCACCGCCACCGCCAGGCCGTGCACCAGAGCCGGCTGCAGCCGCCCCGCTGCAGGCGCGTTCTCGATGACGGACACGCAGCCGATGAAGACAAAGAACATGGTGCCCAGGACCTCCGCCAGGCAGGGCTGGAAAACCCGCTCGTACCTGCTGAGCGGCCTGGACATCGGCCGCTTGGCTTCGTCCAGGAGGGAAGAGTCTGCAGCCGCCATCTCCAGTTTCTCCATGGTGTCCCTTCACTCCTGCTGCAGTATGCTGACTGAGGCAAACTTCTGCCAGGCTGTTTGTTTCCAGCTGTCAGCTCAACCGACTGCTCATAAAATCCAAAGGTGAAGGATAAGCGACTATCTGAGGTCAGAGAGTCTTAATGGTTCTGCAGGTTCTGGCTCCGGTCCAAAGCGAAGCCTCAAAGTTTCTGTTTGCAGAAAAGATTAGAAAAGTCAAAGTCTGCAGGAATCAGACAGGAGAAATATTCCCAAAGTAATATCTGACTGACTGGAATAATGTTTATATGAATGAATGAATGAATGAATGAATGAATGAATGAATGAATGAATGAATGAATGAATGAATTCAGTCTGGACTCTAAGTCTGAGCTATTTCCACATCAGACGTTTTATCAACAAAGAAATAAAATAATCAGGAGGAAATTTACACAAAAAACTCAGATATTTTATCAAAAGCTGAAAAATTGAAAGACTTAAAACATTTAAGTTCTTAAAACTTAGAAAAAGTTTTAAGAACCAGAAGATCAGATCTGCAGCCAGACACGGCGGTGGCAGTATGATACTGTGAGCTCTACTCTTACAGCAGAACAACGACCCAAAGGTCACCAGCAGGTCATTGTCTGACTGGCCTAGTCAAAGGAACATGAACTGGAGGCTGTGAATACTTTCCAGGTTGTTTTAATAAAATCGTCTGAAACAGATTTTTGATTTTATTCTTTTCTCTCATATTTAAAGTTGTTTCTGATCTGAAACTTTAAAATGTAACAAAAACAAAACCTGGAGAAATCTGTAAAACCTTTTCACTGGATCTTTAGTTTGAACTTTTACGTTTATCAGAGAATTTGTTGTGGTTGCCATCAAAGTTGCCGCTTTATGACCTTTTTGTGACCTTATGTTGCCAACAAAACAATCAGAATCAATTTTCATTGAAGATTTTCTCCAACAAAGAGCAGAGATCATAAAAATATCAGATCCTCTGAAATGTTTCTTCTGCTTCCTGCTGCAACAGATTCCAAAATAAAAGCTTCAACATCCAACAATTTCTGATCTCAGGAATATTCAGGAAAAAAATATTTCAAAAGGAAATTATTATTTTAAATAAAAAAACCTCCAGTTCTCTGGTCACCAAACGGCCAACAATTGATCAACTGGTTATTGATTATTTAAAAATATTGATACATTTTTTATTTCTTCCTCCAGATTATTACTAGGAAGATTTAAATATGATTAATGAAACGTCTCAGTTCATGTCCAGGGATGTTATCAAAATGCTGCATTTATAAAACTTTATTAAAGAGAAATGTGACACTTTGGGTCTCTGTCTCTTTAAGAAGCCGTGGATCATAAACCAGGCAGGTCTGTTACGAAACGTTCATTTGAGCCTCCATTTAAAGGCAACACCTGATTTTATTGGTTCATTTCCAATCAATTTGATTTATTGTGTTTTTATCAGTTTTCAGTATTTTGTGTTTCTTTCTCTCATTGACACGATGAAATAACTTGAATAACTAAAATGTTTCCATAATTAATTCTTCCCCTATTTATGAATTCAAAGCATTTTTAAAACAGCTGAAAATGAACTATTTCTAATAAAATCATAAAACAATCACAATAAAAGATTTCAGAATCAAATTAAATGGTTTCAACCATAAAACCAAACAACTTTGTGAAGCAGGAAGTGCAAAGCTGCAGGTCTCCATGGCAACATCAAGGCTTTTACGACACAGATAAACTGAAGAAAGAGGATAACAAACACTGGACTTGACCTTTGACTCCTGAGTATCAGAAAGGTTAACGACCTCAGACATTTGTAACAATACACTGTAAAAAAGCAACAGTTTGGTTATGTAACATTCACCATTTATAAATGTCACAAATTATATTTCACTCATATTTTCCTGTTATTAGTGAAATAATTAGACGGATCTGTAAACCTGCCATTTTATTTTCAATAGAAAAACAACTTTTTTTTCAATAATTTCTGCTCTACGTCGATTTTCACATGAAAAACGAGGAAAACCGGTTTGAGACGTTGTGATGATGATAATAACAACACGAATCTCTTCTCATCTCTCAGTCTTTATTTACAGCAGATTCTGTCAAACATTTTTAAATATTCTCGTTTCATTTTTTCCAGCATCTGGTTCCAGTGTGACCTCTGACCCTGCGGCTCCAGGTGATCTGAGCGTCCTCTTCCCCTGCTGCTCCTCCTGCTAACTCTGGCAACCCAACCGTGGCCTTTGACCCTCAGAAGGCCAGCTGTGACAGCCCTAAAGAAGCAGAACCGACCCGGCTGATTAAAGATGGAGGAAGTGGTGCGGCGGCGCGCGGCGCTCTGCGGCAGCGCCGCACACATGCAGCCTGTGGCGGGTCTCACCCAGGTTGAGCCGGTCTTTGGTGGCCCAGCAGATGCAGTAGTGCTGCAGCAGCTGCTGCAGAAGCTCCTTCTCATCCAGGAACTCCAAACGCTCGATTCTGCAGGACAAAAGTCACCCAGTCAAACCCGGAGTCGAACCCACAACCTTCCTGTTGCAAGGCAGGTCCACATATGAACTTGATTCACATCAGAGCCACCAGTTGGTTGCTCAACATTAGACTCATTTGGAAACCAGTGGCTGCTATGGAAACTCCATTTCTAACAATGAAATGGAGTTAACGAGAAATTAATGAGTTTCCATTAATTTCTGTGAGGTAGAAACTAAATCTGAATATATGTTTCAGCTGCTTTAAAATTCATAATTGCTGTTTGACTTTAAATTTAAATTAGTTTCCCTCCTTCAGTCGGGTCGACCCGGTTCTACTGGAACCAGAACTTCTCTGTCCTCTGACCCAAACCAGCCTGTTCCCCTCCTGGCCTGTGGGGGCGCTGCAACAACAACCACTGCAGGAAACGACACTAAAACCTCTGAAGACACTGAGAGCAACTTCCTGTTTCACCAGATGAACCAAGATGGAGGCGTCAGAGTTTAGTGATTTCTCTTTAGTGTTTGGCTGAAGACCAGGAGCCATTTCTGCTGCTAGCGCTAGGCTAGCATGTTAGCTTTGGTTGTATTTACCCAGAATGCCCTGCGCTGTAGTCCACTTCCTGCTTTTGGAGCGGTCTCTGGTCCTCATGGTGTTCACATTCAAACAGAACCAGACTGAGGTTTGGAGGACCAGAGGTCAGAGGTCGATTAGCGTTCATACCTCACCAACGGACCAGATTTCATAGACAAACGGACTGGACTGCTTTAATGCCATCTCTGCCAGCAGGGGGCAGTGCAGCTGACCTACCTGGCCACGTCTTCCTGAGGCAGGACGCTGTAGACCGCCATCATGTCCAGAGCGCTAGCCTGATCCCAGCCGGCCTGCAGGAAACGCTCCTTCTGCAGACAAAGACCGACTGGTTCTTACACACTGGTTCTTACGCACTGGTTCTTACGGACTGGTTCTTACGGACTGGTTCTTACGGACTGGTTCTTACGGACTGGTTCTTACGGACTGGTTCTTACGGACTGGTTCTTACGGACTGGTTCTTACACACTGGTTCTTACACACTGGTTCTTACGCACTGGTTCTTACACACTGGTTCTTACGGACTGGTTTTACCTGGGAGTCCAGAGACTGGCACAGCTCCACCCCAGCCAGCACGCAGTGCCGCCTCTGCAAGTTCTCGATCATCACCTGACCAAAGCGGTCGCTCATGTTCACCTACAGGAACAGATCGACAGGTCAAAGGTCACTTCCTGCTGTTTCCTGAGAACTTGACATAACAGAAAAGCATGAACACTGACGAGGCAAATGATGCTGCAGCGTGACTTTAAATAGGCCAATGTGTCAAAATTTAATCAACTCAGCAAAGTAAAGAGGGTCAAAGGTCATCCTCAGTTATGCTAGGTACTGGGTTTAGTTTGTCACAGAGGCAGGAGAGATTTTGGTTTGGGTTCCATAGGAACAGATAGTAAACAGCTGCACCAGTGATTTTTACCTGTTCGTAGTTGATAAACATGGCGGTGTGAAACGTCTGAGCGGCCCAGTGGACCAGGCTGGACGACTGGGACGGGGTCATGTAGACCAGCACGCACTCTGACAGCAGCAGCGTGGGCAACCTGCGGCAACACCGGGACAGGCAACATGAAGGCAACACAAACGCAGCAGAAACTCCTGAGCCTGATTGCTCTGCCTGAATCAGCAGATTTCATCTGAAACTGTGACTCAGCAAACTGGAGGGTTGGTTCTGAAAACCTGCGGCGGTGGCAGTGGGCGTGGCACCGCCTGCAATCAGCCTCCAGATGGCCTCTGACCCGCAGCAGCTCTGCAGCAGCAGCTCTGCAGCAGCGGCTCTGCAGCTGCGGCTCTGCAGCTGCGGCTCTGCAGCAGCAGCTCTGCAGCAGCAGCTCTGCAGCTGCGGCGCTGCAGCAGCGGCGCTGCAGCAGATAAGCTGCAGTTCCTGGACCTGGCAGAGACCTGCTGAGAAAACAGACCATGGTTTCCATGGAAACGCTGATCTGAGCTGGACTCACTCCGGGTCCAGCTGGAACCGCCTCAGCTTCTCGTCCAGGCCGGGAACGTCTCTGAGGTCGGCTCCAATGATGCAGAACCGGTCCGAGTCCAGAACATGAGACTCTGAGGAGGCGCAGAGACGGAATCAATATTTTAACAATGATGGTGATGATGATGGTGATGATGATGATGGTGATGATGATGATGGTGATGATGATGGTGATGATGATGGTGATGATGATGATGGTGATGATGATGGTGATGATGATGGTGATGATGATGGTTCTTACCCAGCAGGAAAGAGTCGGTGGAGTGAACATCGATGATGGGTTTGGACAGAGGGGGTTTTGTCCTAGTCAAAGACCAAAACGGAAACATCTGTCACAACAACATTTTGCTGAACAATAAATTGTCCCAGAAATTATTGTCAAAAATAATAATAATGTAATTTTGAGACAATGTCAACTATTTAAAATGCTTCTTTACCTGATTCTAAAAACCTGAGAAAATGTTAAACATACAGAATCCAGAGGAAGCAGCAGAAGTTTTATTAAGCAGATTAAATGTGAGTAATTATTGTTCTGACTCTCTGATCCTCTTTCTGTCCACATTTTGACTGTTTTACAAATGAAACGTTGAACCTGTTTGACTTTTGAGAATCTGGATGGTAGAAACTTCAGGTAGGTGATTCAACCCTCAGCAGGGCAGGACACACAGTGCAAGGTTTTTATTATTTACAGTCAAATACAACTAAAATACAAACAGTGAAGCTTGAATCTGTGACCTGAACCAACAGGGTGAATACTCTCAATTATCACAGCATGGTAGTTATTTCTCCTGTCTTATTGTTCATGTTCCTTTATTCACTAATATGCTGATTTTGAACCAGACTGTGGCGCCCCCTGGCGGACGTTGTTCTGCATTGCCGGACCAGCCAGGAGAAGAGGTCAAAGGTGATTTTATCTGATCTGGCTGCAGAACCAAGCATTTCTAGTTGAAGCTGTGTTATCAATAATATGATGTTTCTCTGCATTTATCTGCTATAATGTTTACATATTAATATTTAATATCTGCAATCAGAAAATGGATCTCCAGATTAGCTTCACTGTTGCCTTTGAAGAGGATGATGAAGAGTTAACTAAAGCAATACTGTTATTGACTTTTAGGCAAGAAAATATTGATTTTATTATTAAAAAAATAATTCAATATTTATTAGCATTTTTTATGCATTTCTAATATTGTATAAAAAATGCTTAGAAACTGCAGAGTACACTAGTTTTTCTGTGATCATCCATCTGAATAATTAATAGATTAATCAATAACTAGGATATAATCTCAAAAGGGATCAATAAAGGCTGATAAACCAACTAACAGCAGTAAAGAACAGCTGCAGACTCACTTTATGTGGTGGATTTTCCGAGCCACAACAGTCGGAAAGTCAACTTCAAAAACAACTTCCTTGGCAACAGTTTTTCCTCCTGAAGACACACACACACACACACACACACACACACACACACACACACACACACACACACACACACACACACTGAAGTTTCAGTTGGTCTGCAGCAGGACAGAGAGCATGCTGGGAAGAAGCGCTCTCCGTTTCCTCACCTGCAGCCTCCAGAAGGTGGTGTCCAGGCCGGCGCCCAGGTTGATGACCTGGCAGTGACCTTGGGTTTTCTTTAGGAAGGCATCCAGCAGCAGGTTGACCCCCTGAACCCGGGCGTAGTACCCTGAGGTCAGAGAGCAGGGTGAACAGCAGCGGGGTCGGTTTACACAGACCGGATCAGTCTACTGATCCCTGACTGGATCCCTGACCGGATCACTCACCTCTGTTGATCTCGGGTGCCTTCCTCTCTCCAACGTTCCTCACAAAGTACTGGAGGCTGGAGTCCTTCCAGTAGCCTTTACTGGTGGCAAACCTGATAAATAAATTCAGTTTCAATTCAGAAGAATCGATGCTGATGGAGATGAACCAGGACAACGCTGGAAGAAAACCAGTTAGAGACGGGGAGGAGAAACCCTGAACAATATTATGGGATGGTTTAGATCAAAGGTTGCCATGTCTGAGCCCGGAGAACTAAAATCCTGCAGCTTTTAGACGTTTTGATGCGTTCCTGCTGAAGGTCCGGTTACCGACCAGAAGTTCTGGTTCTGATGAGGAGATTCGTTTATCTGCGTTTATCTGCTTCAGGCTGGAGAACAGACACGTCTGAAAGTTACAGGATGACAAATGAATCATGTCAAAGCAGATTCATGGGTCAACATGGCCTAGTCAAAGTCTAGACCTAAAACCATGCATCTTGTTCTTCTTCTTCATTCCACTGGACTCTGAGTTTAGTTTGTCTGTCGCGTAAATATCTATTAAGGTTTGCCGTTCTGATTAGTAAAATGGGAGAAATGCCAGGAATGAATGAAATAATGAATGAATCAAAGAATTAAAGAATTCTTTGATTCATTCATTCAAATTTTGTCAAATTTTCACACCTTTTGCAGGTGGTCGCATCATCGCAGGTGGCCCGGACCGCTTCATCCGCAGTGTCCGAGTCCGCGAAGGGCTGCCGGGCGGCCATCGATGACCCAGAGCCTCGGCTAAGGGTGCAGCATGAGACCGCCCTGGAAGGCGGCCGGGGGCGGTGCGGACAGCGGCTGAATCTCCCGCTAGCAGCGGCTAGCAGCGGCTGAATCTCCCGCTAGCAGCGGCTAGCAGCGGTTGAATCTCCCTCTAGCAGCGGCTAGAGGCGGTTTGCCGCTTGCTAATGTCCGTCCTGCTGCTCCGAGTCTCCTGGAGCTTCAACAGTCTTTGAGGAGGATATAAACATCAGCACAAGTGACAAAATAACGTCACTAAATAACTAAATACGGGAAACGAAAATTTGTGGAAAACTGCAGCCGGAAGCACAACATGATACACTTCCGTTTAGTGTTTTTCATAATAAGATTTTATGTTTTTATAAATGAATGCATGTTTTGATGATGTGACAAAATCTCAGAAGAGATCTGAGGTATCTAAAGCTGTATAGGTGTTTTTATAAATTTTCTGAAAACATTATTATTATTTTAATCTGAAAATACCCGCAGAGCAGCATGGTGGCCCACTAGCCACCAGGGGGCAGCAAAGCTAAACGTTCAGCCTCTTAGATCAGAAATTCCCAACTTTTCAGCTTCTGATCGACAACATAATAACTGAGGCGATCAGAATAATGACACTTTCATCCACAGCCAATGTATTGGTTCCTCTGTTTCTGACTGCTGTAGTTGTATGGCAGGCCATATTTACATAAAATCGGTTTCTTTTGACTATCTGTAATTCCATTCCAAATATGTAAAAATTTGTTTTGACTGGACACAACTACATTTTGTCTCAGCTGAATGATGATTTAAGATTTATGCATTTTCATTCTGACTATTAAGCACAAGAATTCAAGATAACTTAATTCATATTTAGACTGCTCAAAATGCCTTTTAAGACGGCGTTACTAAATTTGTCATCTGCGGTTCTGATCCAAACGGATTTTTACTCAGTTTTAATCATAGCTGTCCTCAAAATACTGCTTTTATTTAATTATTTAATACTTATCAGAGATATATTTTCTTGTTGAATGACAGTGATCATGTGCACAGATCACTGGGATTAATGCTAAATTCGCCACGGTAACCAGCATTTTGGATAGCAGCTACCTGTAATAATCTTTATGGTTAATATTGTGGTATAAAATTTAACTGCTGAATTGTGGCTTAACCAACACTTCACCTGATATGTTTGTTATTTAATAAATATCTGCCAAACAAGTAAATAAAATGTTTATACATTTATCATTAAAATTGTGTTCAGTCGCTGTAATTACAGCTTGGTTCCCCTGAAGGGTCTTTGTCAGTGTTGTATCCCAGCCAGCACGCATGAGTGGGCCCCACTTGTGTTTGATGTGGGCTACATGGGTAATGAGTGGGCATGGGTTTTATCTGGGCGAACTGCAAGGGACACATATGGTTAACCTAAAATGAGACCCATATGGCTGGCCCATATGGGCTAAATGCATGGGCCCTATTCAGCAACTAGGGGGCTATCTGGGAATGGGATAGTACTGGGCAACACTATTGGGGCCCATGTGGTTTCAGTATCATGGGCCCAACATGGGAAGCCCATGTGGGCTGACCACATTGAACCCACATGACATCAGCATGGGCTGACCATATATGGGTTAGACCTGGGTGTGGATATGTAGGCCCAGTACTTTTTTAAGTGGGCTATCTGGGAATGGGATAGTACTGGGCAACAGTATGTGGGGCCCATGTGGTTCTAGTATCATGGGCCCAACATGGGAAGCCCATGTGGGCTGACCACATTGAACCCACATGACATCAGCATGGGCTGACAATATATGGGTTAGACCTGGGTGTAGATATGTGGGCCCCAGTCCTTTTTTAAGTGGGCTATCTGGGAATGGGATAGTACTGGGCAACAGTATGTGGGGCCCATGTGGTTCTAGTATCATGGGCCAACATGGGAAGCCCATGTGGGCTGACCACATTGAACCCACATGACATCAGCATGGGCTGACCATATATGGGTTAGACCTGGGTGTGGATATGTGGGCCCCAGTCCTTTTTTAAGTGGGCTATCTGGGAATGGGATAGTACTGGGCAACAGTATGTGGGGCCCATGTGGTTCTAGTATCATGGGCCCAACATGGGAAGCCCATGTGGGCTGACCACATTGAACCCACATGACATCAGCATGGGCTGACCATATATGGGTTAGACCTGGGTGTGGATATGTAGGCCCCAGTCCTTTTTTAAGTGGGCTATCTGGGAATGGGATAGTACTGAGCAACAGTATATGGGGCCCATGTGGTTTCAGTATCATGGGCCCAACATGGGAAGCCCATGTGGGCTGACCACATTGAACCCACATGACATCAGCATGGGCTGACAATATATGGGTTAGACCTGGGTGTGGATATGTGGGCCCCAGTCCTTTTTTAAGTGGGCTATCTGGGAATGGGATAGTACTGGGCAACAGTATGTGGGGCCCATGTGGTTCTAGTATCATGGGCCCAACATGGGAAGCCCATGTGGGCTGACCACATTGAACCCACATGACATCAACATGGGCTGACCATATATGGGTTAGACCTGGGTGTGGATATGTAGGCCCCAGTCCTTTTTTAAGTGGGCTATCTGGGAATGGGATAGTACTGGGCAACAGTATGTGGGGCCCATGTGGTTCTAGTATCATGGGCCCAACATGGGAAGCCCATGTGGGCTGACCACATTGAACCCACATGACATCAGCATGGGCTGACCATATATGGGTTAGACCTGGGTGTGGATATGTGGGCCCCAGTCCTTTTTTAAGTGGGCTATCTGGGAATGGGATAGTACTGGGCAACAGTATATGGGGCCCATGTGGTTTCAGTATCATGGGCCCAACATGGGAAGCCCATGTGGGCTGACCACATTGAACCCACATGACATCAGCATGGGCTGACAATATATGGGTTAGACCTGGGTGTGGATATGTGGGCCCCAGTCCTTTTTTAAGTGGGCTATCTGGGAATGGGATAGTACTGGGCAACAGTATGTGGGGCCCATGTGGTTCTAGTATCATGGGCCCAACATGGGAAGCCCATGTGGGCTGACAATATATGGGTTAGACCTGGGTGTGGATATGGAGGCCCCAGTCCTTTTTTAAGTGGGCTATCTGGAATGGGATAGTACTGGGCAACAGTATGTGGGGCCCATGTGGTTCTAGTATCATGGGCCCAACATGGGAAGCCCATGTGGGCTGACCACATTGAACCCACATGACATAAGCATGGGCTGACCATAATGGGTTAGACCTGGGTGTAGATATGTGGGCCCCAGTCCTTTTTTAAGTGGGCTATCTGGGAATGGGATAGTACTGGGCAACAGTATGTGGGGCCATGTGGTTCTAGTATCATGGGCCCAACATGGGAAGCCCATGTGGGCTAACCACATTGAACCCACATGACATCAGCATGGGCTGACCATATATGGGTTAGACCTGGGTGTGGATATGTGGGCCCCAGTCCTTTTTTAAGTGGGCTATCTGGGAATGGGATAGTACTGGGCAACAGTATATGGGGGCCATGTGGTTTCAGTATCATGGGCCCAACATGGGAAGCCCATGTGGGCAGACCACATTGAACCCACATGACATCAGCATGGGCTGACCATATATGGGTTATACCTGGGTGTGGATATGTGGGCCCCAGTCCTTTTTTAAGTGGGCTATCTGGGAATGGGATAGTACTGGGCAACAGTATGTGGGGCCCATGTGGTTTCAGTATCATGGGCCCAACATGGGAAGCCCATGTGGGCAGACCACATTGAACCCACATGACATCAGCATGGGCTGACCATCTATGGGTTAGACCTGGGTGTGGATATGTAGGCCCCAGTCCTTTTTTAAGTGGGCTAACTGGGAATGGGATAGAACTGGGCAAAACTATGTGGGGCCCATGTGGTTTCAGTATCATGGGCCCAACATGGGAGACCATGTGGGCTGACCACACTGAACCCACATGACATCAGCATGGGCTGACCATATATGGGTTAGACCTGGGTGTGGATATGTAGGCCCCAGTCCTTTTTTAAGTGGGCTATCTGGGAATGGGATAGTACTGGGCAACAGTATATGGGGCCCATGTGGTTTCAGTATCATGGGCCCAACATGGGAAGCCCATGTGGGCAGACCACATTGAACCCACATGACATCAGCATGCGCTGACCATATATGGGTTAGACCTGGGTGTGGATATGTAGGCCCCAGTCCTTTTTAAGTGGGCTAACTTGGAATGGGATAGAACTGGGCAAAACTATGTGGGGCCCATGTGGTTTCAGTATCATGGGCCCAACATGGGGAGACCATGTGGGCTGACCACACTGAACCCACGTGACATCAGCATGGGCTGACCTTATATGGGTTAGACCTGGGTGTGGATATGTGGGCCCCAGTCCTTTTTAAGTGGGCTATCTGGGAATGGGATAGTACTGGGCAACAGTATATGGGGCCCATGTGGTTTCAGTATCATGGGCCCAACATGGGAAGCCCATGTGGGCAGACCACATTGAACCCACATGACATCAGCATGCGCTGACCATATATGGGTTAGACCTGGGTGTGGATATGTGGGCCCCAGTCCTTTTTTAAGTGGGCTATCTGGGAATGGGATAGTACTGGGCAACAGTATATGGGGCCCATGTGGTTTCAGTATCATGGGCCCAACATGGGAAGCCCATGTGGGCAGACCACATTGAACCCACATGACATCAGCATGCGCTGACCATATATGGGTTAGACCTGGGTGTGGATATGTGGGCCCCAGTCCTTTTTTAAGTGGGCTATCTGGGAATGGGATAGTACTGGGCAACAGTATATGGGGCCCATGTGGTTTCAGTATCATGGGCCCAACATGGGAAGCCCATGTGGGCAGACCACATTGAACCCACATGACATCAGCATGGGCTGACCATATATGGGTTAGACCTGGGTGTGGATATGTAGGCCCCAGTCCTTTTTTAAGTGGGCTAACTGGGAATGGGATAGAACTGGGCAAAACTATGTGGGCCCATGTGGTTTCAGTATCATGGGCCCAACATGGGGAGACCATGTGGGCAGACCACACTGAACCCACATGACATCAGCATGGGCTCATGTCATGGGCCCAACATGGGGAGACCATGTGGGCTGACCACACTGAACCCACTGTGGGTTCAGTGTGGTCAGTACATATCCACGCCCAGGTTGGACCTGGGTGTGGATATGTAGACCCCAGTCCTTTTTAAGTGGGCTAAATGAGACAAAATTGTAGAACAATGTACAGGGGTTGGACAATGAAACTGAAACACCTCTCATTTTAGTGTGGGAGTTTCATGCCTGAATTGGACTAGCCTGGTGGCCAATCTTCATGAATTACACATTGCAACAGTAAGAGCAGAGTGTGAAGGTCCAATTAGCAGGGTAAGAGCACAGTTTTGCTCAAAATATTGCAATGCACATAACATTATTTGGGACATACTGGAGTTCAAAAGAGGGCAAATTGTTCACCAAGACAGCAAGTCTTTGTGATTATCAAGAGCCACAGTATCCAGGGTAATGTCAGCATACCACCAAGAATGACGAACCACATCTAACAGGATTAACTGTGGATGCAAGATGAAGCTGTCTTAAAGAGATGTTTGGGTGCTAACCTGGATTGTATCCCAAAAACATAAAACCACGGTGCCCAAATCACGGTAGAATTAAATGTGCACCTCAACTCTCCTGTTTCCACCAAAACTGTCCGTCGGGAGCTCCACATGGTCAATATACACAGCCGGGCTGCTATAGCCAAACTTTTGGTCACTCGTATCAATGCCAAACGTCGGTTTCAATGGTGCAAGGAGCGAAAATCTTGTGCTGTGGACAATGTGAAACATGTATTGTTCTCTGATGAGTCTACCTTTACTGTTTTCCCCACATCCGGGAGAGTTACGGTGTGGAGAAGCCCCAAAGATGCATTCCAGCCAGAGTGTTGTATGCCAGAGTGAAGCATGGGGGTGGATCATTGATGGTGTGGGCTGCCATATCATGGCATTCCCTTGGCCCCATACTTGTCCAAGACGAATTGATGCTGTATTGGCCTCAAAAGGAGGCCCTACACCACGCTAATAAGTTATTGTGGTCTAAAACCAGGTGTTTCAGTTTCATTGTCCAACCCCTGTAGTTAACCTGTCACTTTCAAAATTTTGACTGTATGTCAAAGCAAAAGCTGCAAGAGCAAGATTCTCAAAACTTGGAAAGAATTACCCGAGATGTCAGCTTTATAGTCTTTGCCAAGGCAATTGTTACTCAGCTGGCCTCTAATGGAGTTGATGTAAGGTAAATTGTAGAATTTAATTTTTTCCTTGTAGGAAACCTCGACGATAGTAAAGGTTGGTGACCTTGACCATTGTCGAGGTCTCCAGGACGAAGGTGACCTCGTCTTGGAGATCACCCAAGGATATATTTTGCTGATAGAACAGAACATCCATGTCTTCCTAATGTTTGAACCTAAAACATGTTCACTGTGTGATATCTATGCCTGGCTCATTTACAAACAATAGGCTTCCAGAGGACCAGGATATTAAAACATTAAAAATAATTCTACAATGCTTTATTTTTTTAAACCAGTTCAGTATTGCTCTAGCCACACTTTGAACCCTTAACATTTTTTCATGTTATTATTTTATGCTAGAACAGTCCAGTCCAGTCTTCAAGCCAGTACGCATGAGTGGGCCCCCTTGGGTTTGTAGTAGGCCATATGGGTAATGAGTGGTCATGGGTTTTATCTGGGCAAACCTCATGGGACACATATGGTTAACTAAAATGGGACCCCTATGGGCTGGCCCATTTGGGCTAAATGTATGGGCCCTATTCAGCAACAATGTGGGCTAACTGGAAATGGGACAGAAATGGGCAACACTATTTGGGGCCCATGTGGTTTCAGTATCATGGGCCCCACATGAGAAGCCCAATGTGGGCTGTCCACATTAAACTAACATGACATGAGCATGGGCTAACCATACATGGGTTGGACCTGGGCAGGAAAATGTAGCCCCTAGTACTTTTTTCATGGTCTAAATGGGACAAAATTGTAGAACATTTTAATCGACAATGTGGTTACCTGTCACTTTCAAACTTTTCACTGTATGTCAAAGCAAAAGCCAGTTCAGTATTGCTCTTGCTACACTTTGAACCCCTAACTTTTTTTTCATTTTATTATTGCAGTCTGAATGTCTTAAAACATTTTTTTGAAATAATCTGTTTGAAATATATACGTAAACTCATATTCTGGTGCTTACTCAAAATTAAGCACAGAGTGGTCATGGTTGAGCTTTAGTCCTTGTTTTATTTTTAATAATAATAACTTTTTATTTTATTTTTATTATTATTTTTTATCAATTGGATGTTTAGACATCCATAGAGTTTACTGCAGCCTGTTCGCAGCAAGATTTAAATTTTTATTTGGACAAATAGTTCAGATCAGACCATTGTGAAAAATATCACAAAATGTTTAGAAAATAAACAAAACTCATTAGCAAGTGAGAGACAAGAGTAAAATTTTGAGCATCTGTTTTTTCATATATTTGCAAACATTTTCCAAGTCATCAGTATAAATAAAAATAAAAAATAAAAAAACGTAACATTTCTGTTAATGATTCATTTGGTTCCAATTACCTTTTTGTTCATTGTTTGCTCTGAGGCACCGTTGCCAATAAAGGTTGGTGAATTGAAGTACCGGTAGGCACTTTACACATCCACTGAAGAAATAGTTCCAAAACATATTTGAATAAGGAGGACAACGAAATGTATTTATTTACATTGAGAACTTTTGCTACATCGGTTTTACATTTGTTAAACCGATGTAGCACTCTCAAAAATTAATCTTGTGTTTCTTGGAAAACGTAAAATGACCCGCGGATGGATATGCGGTTTCAAAATCAAGCCTGTTCTCTTCATCAGTCCGTTGGCGCGGAGTCTGCCTGTTGGCTGATCTACGAAAGAATCTGTAAGTACATTTCTTCTTTTACCTAGTACCAAATTTTAGGGAGAGATTTTAAATCGCTTGTTAAAAAAATTGTTGCTCGTAACAAATCGGACGACAGTATCCCAAAAGAGACTTAATTCTTATTGTTATTTTTGCTTTTCTTTAGGGTGATACTTTTTCTGATATTGCTAACACACACAGCTACACACAATAAGCAGATTTTAGTGCAGACCGATTTCAAACGCAGCGTTGTGGGCCAAACCATTTTCAATACCGCCGCCATTCTATTTGTTGAGCTGCCATTGGTTCATTTGAGCGCCAACGAGGCAGAATGAAATCGGTTCACTGAAGAATCTATGTTGCTAGCAGAGGTTGTTACAAAGTGTCTGGACACAATAAAACCATTTGTATGATTTAAAAAGAGTAACTATTGTGCTTTCATTCTATGTACTTGGGCTTTTAATAATCTTTCTCAGTCACATCAGCATGCATGGGTGGGTCTCATGTATGGATTCAGGCTGGTTTGGCTGGGACCCATGCAAGATTATTATTGTCGTTTTTTCAATAAAACTGCATTGAATCGTTTAGCTTTGGGCTATATAGGTAATGATAAGAGGGCATGGGTTTTATCTGGGCCAACTGCGTGAGGCTCAAAAGGTTAACCGAAATGGGACTCATATTGTTGGCTCAATTGGGTTAAATGTATGGGCCCAATTCAGCATTAACGTGGGCTAACCGGGCATGGGACAGAAATGGGAACACTATATGGGGCCCATGTGGTTTCAGTATATTGGGCCTAAAAGGTTTTTTGTAAATAGGATGAAGGCATTGTAGTTCATATTTTTAAATTCTTTTTTTAATTGTTGTGTGACACTTTAAAGCGTTTTGTTATGTCATAGTTTATTTCAATCTGCCGCTATTGTGTTGGTCTAGAGTAGTCATCAGTGTCAGGGTTCCTGTGTGAGAGTGTGTGTATGTGAGTGTCGCATCTTATTTCAGCGAGGATCTTTGTGAGGAGCCCGTGGAGCTTGGCACAGGTGGAGGAGCAGCAGAATCTTCAGTCTACGCTAGATTGACTGAAGATTCTACTGGTGTATGCTAGATGGTTGCATACACCGGTAGTCACTCTGGCCTCTCCTGTTGTGAACAGTTTTCTGAGAACGTTTCTGTGTCTACTAGAAGTCACCTGGTCTCTGTGTTTGTTCGATCCTAGGGGTTTTGTCGCCTCATTCGAGAACTCACCAGTGAATACCTGCCTGCTCGCTCCGCCGATTCCACTGCCTCCACTCCACCCTTCGAGCTTCCAGCTCTCTTCCATTCCCACCTCGCATTTACCTTCGGAACCGCTGCACACCCTCTCTCAGGAACCTGGCATCTCACACCCACGCCTCGAAAGACCCGCACCGAAGTAAGCCTGTTCCTGTTTCCCCTCCGATCACTCATTCTAAGCCCGTCATAACTAAGTTCTCGTTTCAGGCCAACCTGGTCGAGTGGTCCTCACCCTTCCGCTGATGTCCGGGAAATAGATTTTATTTTGTCCTGTTGTAAATAAATCACTCACTCATCCCTATCCAACGTGTGGTTACTGCATGTGGGTCCGTAAATTGAAACCCATCATGTCAATCAGTGGCCAAGCCTGAAACAAATATTGAAAGATGAAGAAATTCTTTTCGATATTTTTGCAATATTTAGCTAGCAGTTATGTGAAATGTACTTATATTTAATTGTAGCTCTAATTTTTTTATATGTGCAATGTTTTAGGCTTTATTAGTTACATTTATAGTGATTTTCTAAACTTCTCTTAAGAGTAATACTACTGTCTTAGTCCTGTCACGTTAACAAAGAAATTAGGATAATTGCAAAACTGTTCAGTGTTTACAATATAAGGCTTCAGTAGTTAATCCATACAAAGGCTGTTTTGCCTTAATTTTTTTATTTTTTTGAAAAGTCTAAATGTTATATTGCACTAATAAAATATATTTTTGCAGGCTTCAAGAGGATCAGCGTGTGAAGATCACTTTATAATGATTTGAAAAAGGTAGATTAATATGTTAGTGAAATTAAGCACATAAGAGTGATATAATGACAAACTGATGAACAAAAACAAAATGTTGTCCTGTTATTGTCATTGTACTTAAGGTTGCCATGGCTACAGAAATTGGAGGAGCATCCTTAGATGACACAATACAACCAGCTGTGCGATTCCTCATGTCCCATGAACTGGAAGTCCAGTTCAACCTTTTTGGCCAACATTGGAAACAAGCTCTTGGACCTGCGTCTCTTTGATGTTTTGTATGGTAAATATCAGTTTTTATTGTCAGAGTAACTTTTTTTTTTCACTTTTCTTTCTTAAACATATGTTAATTTATTTTGGTTGTTTTATTCTTTTGTTTGTTTTTTAGTAATGTTTTTAGGTTAAAAATTGAGTCTTCAATTTTTGGTTTTATTTGAACAGTATTCTTTCACTGTTGTTAAGAACTTAAAAATTTGAAGGTAATATTGTTTGCATTTCAAACAATATTAAAATAACCACAAAACCACGATAGAACCTAGTAGTTGATTTATATAGATGGATATATTTTAAATTTACAGTAAGAATATAGTTTCTGTACATAATAATGATGACTCAAGAGTCCTTTTGATTATGGCATATCTCTGCAAGCATTTTTGCCCCATGAAGGGGGAGATGCAAATCTCATGAATGTTACATTGTGCTAAAATGAAACACTAATACAATTTCTACCTTTGCTTGTTATTTCAGGGGACTTAAAAGAAATTATCCATCTACAGAATCACACAAGCATACAGCAAAGACTCTCGAAGTGGTTTACTGGAGCCCGAGTGGAAGTGGAAATAGACTAGAGAGACTGCCAGTTCAAACTCAGGTTGGGGAGGTCTTTCAAGATGGACAGTTTCAGTAAAGTATGAGAGATTTCAAATTTAAGCATGCATATGGCATGTAGGTTATTTTTAAAAATGTTTAACAAAAATGTATTGTGAAAGATCTATATAGGTGTGTATATTCACATTGTGTGTATCAATGTGAATATACGTGTATAAAGTTATATAGATAGTATTTAGATGTATACATTTATAGACCTGTAGGAAAATATGTAGGTGTCTTTATTTGTGTGCATCTATAGATATATATTTATAGATCTGTTTATAAGTTTGTTATAGTAAACTAGCTTCTGTTATTTTCAAAGATGTCGTGAATAATTGCAGATTTCTTTTTGTGGCACCATTCCCTGAGTATTAATGAAGTTCTAATAATTGCTGTAGTGAGGTAAAAAATAACTCCTGACAATATTTTAAATTACTAAATAAAAGCCTTGAGCAAAATGAATTTTTCATCTCTTTTTTTTTTTTTTATTTGAACACGTTTTAAGCTAGACTTTGGATTGTTGATCAAGATTGCATATCTATGAATGTAATTCACATCCAGGTTAGATGAGAATTGTTCCTACAGGATTAAGGCATCTGGGTCCCACTGAAAGCCCAGTCAGCACCCATTGAAATCTACTTGGGCAAACCCATGTGGGGCCACCATGGAAACCGTGGACAAACCCACTTGTTACCCATATTCTAGCCCAGTTCAGACCCAATTGGGACCCATGTAAATATTCTTGACAGCACCCTAGTGGGCCACAGATGGGCCTCATGTGAGTTAACCATGTGGGACCCACTGAAAACCCAGTCAGCACCCATTAAAATCTACTTGGGCAAACCCATGTGGGGCCACCATGGAAACCGTGGACAAACCCACTTGGTACCCATATTCTAGCCCAGTTCAGACCCAATTGGGACCCAGGTAAATATTCCTGACAGCACCCTAGTGGGCCACAGATGGGCCTCATGTGAGTTAACCACATGGGCCCCACTGAAAACCCAGTTAGCACCCATTGAAATCTACTTGGGCAAACCCATGTGGGGCCACCATGGAAACCGTGGACAAACCCACTTGGTACCCATATTCTAGCCCAGTTCAGACCCAATTGGGACCCAGGTAAATATTCCTGACAGCACCCTAGTGGGCCACAGATGGGCCTCATGTGAGTTAACCATGTGGGCCCCACTGAAAGCCCAGTTAGCACCCATTAAAATCTACTTGGGCAAACCCATGTGGGGCCACCATGGAAACCGTGGACAAACCCTTTTGGGACCCATATTGCCTGCCCACTTATATCCCATATGGGGCCCACCTAGGTGTGCTGGCTGGGATAAAGTACTGGAATCTCAAAGTCCAGTAAAAGTATAGGTACCTCTCCAAAATATGACTTTGGTAAAAGTCCAAGTCACTGAAATGTTACTTGAGTTAAAGTCTTAAAGTATCTAAAACGTCTTGTACTTAAGTCTGGAAGTTACTGTAACAATGGATGAACTCAAGTAATGTAATGAAAAGTAAAAAGTAAAACAAGGCAAATACAGTTTGAATGACATTTTTCATATTTTGGTAAACTTGTCAAATACACTTAAAATAATGAACAGAACCAAGTGCAGGCAAAATGAAACCTGCTAATAGATAAACCTGCAGCATCATTTAGTTAAGAACATTAGGTGCTTTACCTAAACCACAAGGTTAACTTAACCTGTTTTAGGTTAACTTAACCTGCTTTAGGTTAATTTAACCTGTTTTAAGTTAACTTAACCTGCTTTAGGTTAACTTAACTTGTTTTAAGTTAACTTAACCTGCTTTAGGTTAACTTAACCTGCTTTAAGTTAACTTAACCTGCTTTAGGTTAACTTAACTTGTTTTAAGTTAACTTAACCTGTTTTAGGTTAACTTAACCTGCTTTAGGTTAACTTAACCTGCTTTACAACTGAACCAGCTTCTTAGTAAACCCTCCAGGACAGAAAATACAAAGTTTTTCTAAACCTTAAGTTTTTCCTTTCAGTAAGGTCAGTGCTGAAAATGAGAAAAATAAATAGTCAGAACAGAAAATGCAGCAAACATGAAGAAAAAAAGCCGTTAGGATTCCTCTACTTCACACACTATAGGTGCAACAACTGGTCATTATGCAAAAGAAAAAAAGAAATGGGAGGGAAATGCAGCTTATTGACATCTGAAGAGGAGAGCTTTTAGTTAACTTGGTGTTTAATGGGAGAAGCGAAACAGGTGCATTGTATTGGTGGTGATGAACAGCCCAGGTAAGAAGCCTGACTTTGTTGCAGTCGATCAGTAGGTGGGGTCAAAACACTTTTCTCTCTCGCTTTTTTGTAACCAGTAACTAAACCACACATTGAAAATGTATGCAATTAAGTTCGGAAATATAGTGAAGTAAAAGTGAAAGTTATCAAAAATTTTCTTACTTGAGGAAAGTATGAAGTACTCCAAAATGTACTTAAGTAAAGTAGTGAAGTATTTTTACTTTGTTACTATACAACACTGGTCTTTGTAATGCCTGCCTCTCGTGTTTCCAGTTTTGTAAAATGGAAACGTAATCTCAGTACTAAAAAATGTTTTAACAATATTATTTGTATCCTCAAGTTCTTAGTTTCTGAACTAAATCAACATTTCAGATAGAATTTGGTCCAAAATTATTCATACACTTGGATTTAGGATTTAGGTTTAAACTAATATTTTAATTTCATCAACATATTTTTTCTGACAGGAAGTAATCCTGAGGATGTGGAACGATCAGCCCAGAGAATCAGGGCAGGGAGCTCAAGATTAGGGTGATGGTAAGGAGACCTTCCAAAAGACCTGAATCTGAACAAAAGACATAAATCATATTTGTCACATTGACAAATATGATATATTTGACAAATAAATTATTGACAAATAATTTTTTTGTGAAAAAGTTAACAGAATAAAAAACGTGATCAATATTGATTTCCTAAACAAACTTCTTAATTTATTGAAAACTATTTTACATTTAGATCTGCGAGGGGTATGAATAATTTTGGACTTATCTCAAAAGGAAAATAAATAAATGTCCCATTATTCCAATAATAATAAAAATGATATTAGAAGCAACAGGAAGAGCTGCTTCCTGCTGTTTGTTAGTAAGTTTATTACTGAATGTATTGAGGTTTTTGTGTGAATATCGGCGTTCTGATGGCTGGGTACCATCACTGACCATCAGCTGGAGGAATGAAAGGCTTCAGGTTTAGAGTAGATAAACTGAACAAAGCCGTCCTGTCTGCTTCTTAATGCAGCTTCAGACTGAACAGACGGGCTTGCTGACCCGTCAGCTGGTTCTGACCCAGCTGTGCTTCTTTAAAAGCTTCCATAGGAGAACATCGGCTGAACTGGATCACCTGATCACAGTTATTATGACTCACATCCATTAGGTAACATTTGGGTTTCCCTCCCGACTTTCTGCTGAGAAAATGAAAGCGGTGTCTGAAAAGGAGCCGCGCCGCGACCAGGGGACATCTTTTCTCCCAGATGAATCGCAGGTCAGAGGTCAGCCTCCTGGTAGGCTGCAGACAGAACACTCCATTAACCCGACGGCCCTGAGACGTTTCTGCCCCGGGGTTTGGCCGGCGGCGTTCTGCAGAAAATGACCCGGAGGTTTTGAGACGGCCGCCACATCGTTACGGCGTGTTCCATTTCCTCCCTGCTTACAGGTGAGTCAAACCACAGGAAGAACAAATTAAACCAAACAGCACATTTCCTCCAAGCTTGTTCAAGTCTGAAACCAACAGTGATTAGACTTTCTAAATATGATCTCAGAAAAACTCTGGAATAGACTTTATTCTGCAATTATCTCAAAGCAAACAATCATTTCAACTCTTGAGATCCAGATCAGATTAAAGATGATTGCTGAAAATTATTCCATCTTTCTTCGAGTCTCCAGAGCCAAAACACAGGTGGGTGACATCATGGCTATTAGAGCGTTACAGATTATTTCTGAGCCAAAACACACAGAAAGGAGGAACGTCTGAAACGAGGGAAGCTCTACTCACTGAGGCAGAGTGAGCTCAGGTGACGCTCCTGCAGCGTCCCGACAGGAAGAGGACCTCTGAGAGAAATATTGGCTTCTACTGACACAAAGAAAAGTTTCTCCTCAAACAAAGACCTCCAGCCAATTTAAACCCAGTTCAACTGCAGCCGCAGCCTTTGGGCTCTCTGTGAAGCCCTGAGAACTGAGTTTGATTCACAACTGGTTGAACTAAATGTTCAAATGTCATCAGTATCAGTTCTCTGCCCATTAGTTATTATTAATGACTGAAAATATTAAGAAACATTCTGTGTTAAACAGGTACAAACACATAAAGGAGGAAAAATTCAAAACACACAAACATAAATGGAATTGAAATAAATTCTGCAAACAAAAAATGCTTCAAAGAATGAAACAGAAGTCCTCCAGACCAGTAGGGGGAGTCGACCACTCGATCAATGGAACCAGATCCTCAGTAAAGACAGACTGTCAACAGTTAAAGATTCTGTCCCTGCCGTCACAATCAACAAGAATTGACCAGAAGCAAAGAAAACCCAGCCGGTTGGGTTGGTTCTGCATCTCAGGTCTTTATGGACTCGGACATTAAGGAGAACCAGAACCTGAAGTTCTGTTCAGGAATGAAGAGTTCATGTCATTCGGTTCTAATCATGACCCAAAGAGATCTGTTCCATTTTTTTCAACTATTTGAATCTTTTTCTTTTTAAGGTTTAGCAGGATTTTATTAAAGTGGTCAAAATTGGTTTATTTATCCTTCAAATTTATACTGTTTAGTGAATGTCATGTTCCGTGTTTTTCTGTTGTGTGTATTTGAGTTTTCTGTGTCCTGAGTTCTCCTCGTTGTCCTGTCTTCCCCTTGATTACTCCCAGGTGTGTCTCAGTGTACCCTCAGTGTATTTAGTCCCTCCTGTGTCCTTTGTCCCTTGTCAGGTCCTTGTCAGATTGTCGTACTTTTGCCTTTGTCTGCCGTTGTGTGTTTAGCCGCCTGTATGACCAGTTGCTACCGGCGTTGAGCCCTGGCTTCCGCTCAGCCGTGCTGCCTGGCCGCGGACTACGTCTGTGACTTTGTTGTTGTCATTGGACTATTTTTTATCATTAAATTTCCACCATTTCACTTACCTGGGTCTCCAGCGTCTGCCTCACCACCTCCACCACCATTTCATGACAGAAAAAAGTTACCATAGCAACAGGTAACTCCACCCCTTTATCTGTCTGTAATTAAGATCAGCTCCAATATCACATTCAAACATATTTTAGACACATTTAAATAGACATGGAGTCTCATACTTTTGACTTTTCATAATTAATGCTGTGCATTATACAAGTTTAATTTTACAACTGTTAACTCCTGATAACTGATACTGCCTGATATTAGATGATACGACCTGATATTAGATGATACTAATGTCATCTAATGTAAAAAAAATCAATTATTTGAATTTCTTTCTCAGACAGGAACCCAGTTCCTCCATTATTATTATTATTATCATCATCATCATCATCACAGTTCTGATTACAGAACAGGTAGATATTAGATGATACTACCTGACATTAGATGATACTGCCTGATATTAGATGATTCTACCTGATATTAGATGATACTGCCTGATATTAGATGATACTACCTGATATTAGATTAAACTACCTGATATTAGATGATACTAAATGATATTATATTATACTACCTGATATTAGATAATACTACGTGATATTATGATACTACCTGATATTAGATGATACTACCTGATATTAGATGATACTGCCTGATATTAGATGATACTACCTGATATTAGATGATACTGCCTGATATTAGATGATACTACCTGATATTAGATGATACTACCTGATATTAGATGATACTACCTGATATTAGATGATACTACCTGATATTAGATGATACTACCTGATATTAGATGATATTAGATGATACTACCTGAAATTAGATGATACTACCTGACATTAGATGATACTACCTGATATTAGATGATACTACCTGATATTAGATGATACTACCTGATATTAGATGATACTACCTGATATTAGATGATACTAAATGATATTATATTATACTACCTGATATTAGATAATACTACGTGATATTAGATGATACTACCTGATATTAGATGATATTAGATGATACTACCTGAAATTAGATGATACTGCCTGATATTAGATGATACTACCTGATATTAGATGATACTACCTGATATTAGATGACACCACCTGATATTAGATGATACTACCTGATAATAGATGATACTACCTGATATTAGATGATACTACCTGACATTAGATGATACTACCTGATATTAGATAACACCACCTGATATTAGATGATACTACCTGATATTAGATGACACCACCTGATATTAGATGATACTACCTGATAATATATGATACTACCTGATATTAGATGATACTACCTGACATTAGATGATACTGCCTGATATTAGATGATACTACCTGATATTAGATGACACCACCTGATATTAGATGATACTACCTGATATTAGATGATACTGCCTGATATTAGATGATACTACCTGATATTAGATTAAACTACCTGATATTAGATGATACTAAATGATATTATATTATACTACCTGATATTAGATAATACTACGTGATATTAGATGATACTACCTGATATTAGATGATATTAGATGATACTACCTGAAATTAGATGATACTGCCTGATATTAGATGATACTACCTGATATTAGATGATACTACCTGATATTAGATGACACCACCTGATATTAGATGATACTACCTGATAATAGATGATACTACCTGATATTAGATGATACTACCTGACATTAGATGATACTACCTGATATTAGATAACACCACCTGATATTAGATGATACTACCTGATATTAGATGACACCACCTGATATTAGATGATACTACCTGATAATAGATGATACTACCTGATATTAGATGATACTACCTGACATTAGATGATACTGCCTGATATTAGATGATACTACCTGATATTAGATGACACCACCTGAATTAGATGATACTACCTGATATTATGATACTACCTGATAATAGATACTACCTGATATTAGATGATACTACCTGATATTAGATGATACTACCTGACATTAGATGATACGACCTGATATTAGATAACACCACCTGATATTAGATGATACTACCTTATAATAGATGATACTACCTGATATTAGATGATACTACATGACATTAGATGATACTGCCTGATATTAGATGATACACCTGATATTAGATGACACCACCTGATATTAGATGATACTACCTGATATTAGATGATACTACCTGATATTAGATGATACTACCTGATAATAGATGATACTACCTGATATTAGATGATACTACCTGATATTAGATGATACTACCTGATAATAGATGATACTACCTGATATTAGATGATACTACCTGACATTAGACTGCCTGATATTAGATGATACTACCTGATATTAGATGACACCACCTGATATTAGATGATACTACCTGATATTAGATGATACTACCTGATATTAGATGATACTACCTGATAATAGATGATACTACCTGATATTAGATGATACTACCTGATATTAGATGATACTACCTGACATTAGATGATACGACCTGATATTAGATAACACCACCTGATATTAGATGATACTACCTTATAATAGATGATACTACCTGATATTAGATGATACTACCTGACATTAGATGATACTGCCTGATATTAGATGATACTACCTGATATTAGATGACACCACCTGATATTAGATGATACTACCTGATATTAGATGATACTACCTGATATTAGATGATACTACCTGATAATAGATGATACTACCTGATATTAGATGATACTACCTGATATTAGATGATACTACCTGATTTTAGATGATACTGCCTGCTATTCAGCTGTTCCTTGGTTTTGTTACTTGTGTTTTATTTCATGTCCAGAGGCTGAAGCTGCTGAACTGAACCTGGTTCAGTTTCCTCTGTGTTCCCTCCAGGAGGCTGCAGTCCCGTATCTTCCTGTCTGCCACTTAGAGTGCCTTCCTTGCTGCGCTCCAAGCCACACCCCTGTGCTAATGTGGCCTTGCATGGCTGCATGGCTGCATGGCTATACTTAGGCAGCAGCTAACCACAGCAGAGTTCTCTTCTTAGTTTCTAGGTGACATCAAATTCATTCACTGTTTTCTGTGGTGCATAAAGCCAGTTTGACTCGCTCCAGCATTTTATTCATCACTTTTGCTGCAGCTAGAAACAGAAAAGTTTTCACAGTCAGACAGAAACAGAAGATCAACAGAAAACAGAAAATATTTTTTATCCATTCTGCAGATTCCATCATAATCCATCCTCAGTTACATCTGAGATAGATAGATAGATAGATAGATAGATAGATAGATAGATAGATAGATAGATAGATAGATAGATAGATAGATAGATAGATAGATAGATAGATAGATAGATAGATAGATAGATAGATAGATAGATAGATAGATAGATAGTCTGAACTCCACTCTGCTGACAAACTATAACTATATAATAGAACTGGGAAAAGTTATGTGAAGCTGATCAAATTGAACATAAAGAGCTTGTAAATGAATTTAAGTTCATCTTCAAACCAGTCCAGTAAGTCAATGATTCTGCAATATTAATTGTAAAAGAGGAAAACATAATGTTTTATAACCAATTTATAAAGTTTGTCTGTGAAGAAAAGTTCATTTGAGTTTAAGAAGTTCCATGGTCTTTGAACGCATCATGATTAGTTACAGTCTAGGTGTGTGTGTGTGGTTGTGTGTGTGTGTGCGTAGGTGTGTGTGTGTGTGTGTGTGTGGTGTGTGTGTAGGTGTGTGTGTGCGTATGCGTGTGTGTGTGCGTGTGTGTGCGTTTGTGTGTGTGTGCGTGTGTGTGTGTTTGTGTGCGTGTGTGTGTGTTTGTATGTGTGTGTGTGTGTTTGTGTGCGTGTGTGTGTGTTTGTATGTGTGTGTGTGTGTTTGTGTGCGTGCGTACGTGTGTGTGTGTGTGTGTGTGTGTGTGTGTGTGTTTGTATGTGTGTGTGTGTGTGTGTGTGTGTGTGTGTGTGTGTGTGTGTGTGTGTGTGTGTGTGTGGCCATGCGGGCGGCTCCTCTCCTCTGGTCTGCTGGTTTGAACCCCGTGAATCTGGAGCTGAAGCTGCAGATTGGAGGATTGAGAGGAAATGAGGAGAAATGAAGTCTGGTCGACAATCACAGATTAATATTCCTCCTCCATCATCCTTCAGGCCTCCTTCCCTACCAGCGCATTAAAAGCGCATTAAATATCATTAAAGTAACGACCATATTCCTCTGAAATTGCTCTAATAATCATTTGACATGAGACTTTTTCCTCTTTGACCGGATAATCGTTATTTTCGGGGTTATTTCCGCGCGCCGTGGCGCAGCGTGGGCTGGAACCGGAGGGGGCGTGTGTTGTACGGACGGGGCGTGGATGTGGGTTTCCCGTGGAGCACAGGGACCAGAACCCGGGGAGGACAAGCCGAACATCCCGGCATGCTGCTCTCCAGTCTGGGGGACGTGAGGGTCCCTCAGTGATGGATGCGTGGCGCTCCGCTGTGACGCGCAGTGGGCAGGTTTGGCGCACATTGCGCCTGTGGATGAGATGATCCGGTTCGCAGCTGAACCATGAAGTCCCTCGGCGTGCCATGCTGCCTGCGCTCCGTCCTCCATGGGATGCAGTAGATGGAGAGCTGCGCTCAACTTCGGACACCTGAAGGCGCAGTCCAGGCTCCCCGTCTTCCTCACCATGATCCTCCTCTTCTCTTACCTCTGCTACTGCCTCAGCAGCCGCTGCGACGCGCTGCCCCGGCCGCTGATCAGCAGCGGCGCTCCGGCGGGCGAGCGGCTCCTGGGCTCCGAGGTTCAGCTGCTACGGCACCGGCTGGCGGACCCCGCCGGCGGCCTGCGGTCTCCCGACAACATCTCCATATCTAATAACTTCGGCAGCAAGAAGTTCCCGCAGGCCATCATCATCGGGGTAAAGAAGGGCGGAACCCGGGCGCTGCTGGAGTTCCTGCGGGTCCACCCGGACGTCAGAGCCGTGGGCGCTGAGCCGCACTTCTTCGACCGCTGCTACGACAAGGGGCTGGGCTGGTACAGGTAAGACCTGCACCTGCAGGAAGGTTCAAACACAGACATGGTGGTGAGCAAAATGAAGAGAACAACTTCCTGAACTAATTCTGCAGCCTGAATGTTTGGTAACAATGACATTAAATCTGTCAAAGTTCAGAGTCAGGCTGCGCGATATGGGGCCAGAACGTCATCGCGATGTTTCAGTATTGCGATAAATATCATTAAATACACTAATTATTCTTTTTTATTGAACTGTATGTTGTGACTGGAAAAGCACTTTGATAAAGCTTCTCAGGGTGTCACCAAGTTAGAAAAATATTTGTTGATGCTTAAACAGCTTAAAATAATATTTATGTCAGTTTTTAACAAAACAACAATAAATCAAAATTCTTAAGAAATTTGTAATGATAAATGATACAATAACCGTAGATTCATTAACAAATGACTGCATAAATGATCATGTTGTTTTGAGACCATTTTCACATAATATATTGATAATAACATAATAATGCCAGTTCTCCCTCTTTTTTAAAATATGCAAGTAAAAACCATAAATAAAATGGAAATAAAAACCAAACCAATAAAGTCTCAGTCAACAAATTTTAACTACCAGAAATTAAATTAAGTACATTTGAAATTGTTATGCAAAAAATTGATTCATTGCTTCTTGTTGCTTTCATTTCTTTCCTCCTCATAATTTTAAGCTTCTTGATCTGTTAAATAGAATCAAACTAACCTGAGAAAAAATGTTTAAGGTTTATGAAAAAATATGCAGTTTAATCTAATTAGTTTATATGTTATGTTTATAGCACAGCTTAGTTTATGTATTTTGTGTGTTTGATCTCATATTTTGACATGTTTTGGTAAAGAGTTTTTAAACTCAATGAGTTATTGTCCTATTTAAATGAAGGATTAATGTTCATAACAGATGCACCATTACATATTTATTTTTATTGCTGAAAGTTTAAATTTGAAGTAAATTTTACCTTCTGAAATGTTCAGGATGTTTATGTCCTTTTGTTGTGTTAAAGGAAACAATTTATTTATTGATGTCATGAAGAAAAACCAGAATCAAAAATGATTGGTCAGAACCAATCAGAACCAATCAGAACCAGTCAGAACCAGTCAGAACCAATCAGAACCAGTCAGAACCAGTCAGAACCAATCAGAACCAATCAGAACCAATCAGAACCAGTCAGAACCAGTCAGAACCAATCAGAACCAATCAGAACCAGTCAGAACCAGTCAGAACCAATCAGAACCAGTCAGAACCAGTCAGAACCAATCAGAACCAATCAGAACCAGTCAGAACCAATCAGAACCAATCAGAACCAGTCAGAACCAGTCAGAACCAATCAGAACCAGACAGAACCAGTCAGAACCAATCAGAACCAGTCAGAACCAATCAGAACCAATCAGAACCAGTCAGAACCAGTCAGAACCAATCAGAACCAGTCAGAACCAGTCAGAACCAGTCAGAACCAATCAGAACCAGTCAGAACCAATCAGAACCAGTCAGAACCAATCAGAACCAATCAGAACCAGTCAGAACCAGTCAGAACCAGTCAGAACCAATCAGAACCAGTCAGAACCAATCAGAACCAATCAGAACCAGTCAGAACCAGTCAGAACCAATCAGAACCAATCAGAACCAGTCAGAACCAGTCAGAACCAATCAGAACCAGTCAGAACCAGTCAGAACCAATCAGAACCAGTCAGAACCAGTCAGAACCAGTCAGAACCAATCAGAACCAGTCAGAACCAATCAGAACCAATCAGAACCAGTCAGAACCAATCAGAACCAATCAGAACCAGTCAGAACCAGTCAGAACCAATCAGAACCAGTCAGAACCAATCAGAACCATTCAGAACCAATCAGAACCAATCAGAACCAGTCAGAACCAGTCAGAACCAATCAGAACCAGTCAGAACCAATCAGAACCAATCAGAACCAGTCAGAACCAGTCAGAACCAATCAGAACCAGTCAGAACCAGTCAGAACCATTCAGAACCAATCAGAACCAATCAGAACCAATCAGAACCAATCAGAACCAGTCAGAACCAATCAGAACCAATCAGAACCAATCAGAACCAATCAGAACCAATCAGAACCAGTCAGAACCAATCAGAACCAATCAGAACCAGTCAGAACCAATCAGAACCAATCAGAACCAGTCAGAACCCATCAGAACCAATCAGAACCAGTCAGAACCAATCAGAACCAATCGGAACCAGTCAGAACCAATCAGAACCAATCGGAACCAGTCAGAACCAATCAGAACCAGTCAGAACCAGTCAGAACCAATCGGAACCAATCGGAACCAGTCAGAACCAGTCAGAACCAATCAGAACCAATCGGAACCAGTCAGAACCAATCAGAACCAGTCAGAACCAATCAGAACCAGTCAGAACCAATCAGAACCAATCAGAACCAGTCAGAACCAATCAGAACCAGTCAGAACCAGTCAGAACCAGTCAGAACCAGTCAGAACCAGTCAGAACCAATCAGGTTCTGTCTCCTAACTATGAATCTCTGCTTATGGAAACAAATATTTAAAACAGTCTCTGCAGAAAGATATTTTTATTAAACTTGACTATTTTACTTGTTCATCATATTCAATAAGGAATATTGATTTATTTGGGTATCAGCTGGTTTTTAACTTTAATGGTTCTTCGTCTTTAGTTGCTGTAATTAATGGTTTAGATCTGGGATCTGAGTTTCACTGGAACTGGGCTTCAGGTTCTGAGCGGGTTCTGGCCCGGTTCCTCTGCTGGCGGGTCGGTGCGGGACTGGTTCTGATTGGTTCTGATTGGCGTCGTGGAGCTGCGGGAAAATCAGAGGAGAGGAAGACCTGCGCTGCATTCAGGGCCCGTCGTTTTTAAAGGGGAGCTTTTAAAACCCAACCAAACTGCCTTCGTCCTGCTGCCATCAGGACTTAAATCAGGTTTATTGATAAGCTGTTTCCTCCACGCCAACAGCTGATCATGATTTTATTTTCCCTTTGTCTCCATGGAGACGGTGTTTTTATGGGTTGTTTAGTGGAGACAGTTGATCTGAGTGAATGATTCTGAGGAACAGATGAACTGATTCACACACTCTGTTTTTATTGAGCTTTTATCAAATAACACATAAAAGTTAAACAGTTAAACCTGATCAGGTTTTCTGTTAGAACTTAAAATCTGAAATGTGTGGAATGCTTATATTCAGCCCTATAAAATCCACCACCACCAGTTTCCCTCAGAAATAACCCAGTTTGATTTATTCAATACAAGTCCGTCTACACAGGTTCTGGTTCTGGTTCTGTTGAAAGCTTTAACCAGCTCTCGCAGCTCTGACATGACCTTTAAACTTTTTGTCGCTTCACTCTGGACAGACAGTGAAACATGGTGTTGGCAGCATCATCCTGAGGGAATATGCAACCAGAGGTACAATCACTTCAATCTAAGCATATTTACATGTTACAGCCTAGTCAAAGTCCAGAGACCTAAATCCACTTGAAAGCTGACTGTTTCCATTCTAATCTGCACTTGAAACACGAGCAGTTGTCAGTGGTCCACCACACTTTTCAGATCCTTATTCAGATCTTTAGAGGAGCGATGCCATGCGACGATCTGTAACCATAAACAGGAAGTGGAATAGACACTGTAAGCTCAAACAGGAAGTGGAATAGACACTGTAAGCTCAAACAGGAAGTGGAATAGAAGGAAGTGGAGTAGATACTGTCATCACAAAAAGGAAGTGGAGTAGACACTGTAATCTCAAACAGGAAGTGGAATAGACACTGTAAGCTCAAACAGGAAGTGGAACTGACACTGTAAGCTCAAACGGAAGTGGAATAGACACTGTAAGCTCAAACAGGAAGTGGAATAGACACTGTAAGCTCAAACAGGAAGTGGAACTGACACTGTAAGCTCAAACAGGAAGTGGAATAGACACTGTAAGCTCAAACAGGAAGTGGAATAGACACTGTAAGCTCAAACAGGAAGTGGAATAGACACTGTAAGCTCAAACAGGAAGTGGAACTGACACTGTAAGCTCAAACAGGAAGTGGAACTGATAAATCTGTAAATGAATCAGAGCTGATGATGAATGGAGGTGGAGTGAAAATGGACCTTAGACCTGTTTCGCATTTAAGAGGATGACTGATGAGGAAGACCTTCTTCCTCTTCAGACAGATAGAGATGTTGAGTCTGCAATGTTTTTTTTGGTTTACTGGACTGGTTTCAAGAGGAAACTGACAGCCTGAATGACACGGCTTCATTCAGCCTGGGTGTTTGAGCCTGTGGGTGTGTGTGTGTGTGTGTGTGTGTGTGTGTGTGTGTGTGTGTGTGTGTGTGTGTTGTGTGTGTGTGTGTGTGTGTGTGTGTGTGTGTGTGTGTGTGTCACTGCCACTAATTGCTCCCTCCCTCTTAAGTTATCAGATGGGAAAATCAGAAGTTGTGTTCCTACTGGTCCACACTGGTCTCCTTGTGTGGTTTTATCTTGGAGCAGCCAGGGGCCACAGGGGCGGCGGGGGGCCACGCCCTGCCTGATCTTGGGGAGGGAGGAACCAACAGACTGGTGCAGATATGGGCAGATTACAGAGTGACACTTCCTGCCTCCATGATGTCCTCCATTACAGAAAAACCTCCAATGTTTCTGAACTGAACAGGCTAGCTGCTACAAGCTAGCACAGAAAATGCTCCAGTTATTTATTTAGGTTTCTTTTCAGGGACAGTAAATAATGGTAACTCCAAAGGATCAAGCTGGAGGTATTAAATTATTCGTCCATCTCTGGTAACACAAAGGTTTTAGCATCCTGCAGCATTTTGAGGCTATGGCTAGCAGCTTGCTAGCTTATTATAAATAAAGAAAGTAACAGAAGCAATGATAAAGCATTATATGGACATTTTGAAAAGATCTGACATTTATACACTTTGATTTAAATCAGATGTTTACATTTTCTCTTAATAAGAGGCTGAAGCTAGCATGTGGATAGCTTAGCCCGCACAAATGAACTAAGCTAGCTCCTAACATTAGCCCATAACATGAGTTATTTAACAACTAAAAATCAATAGAAAGACATGAAAAGTTGATCTAATTGAAGTTTTTACGTCCAACGTCTCAAAGAGCTAGCATGTGATGCTAACGTGTAATAATCTTCACAGCAACTGACCAGCAGTCCACTTCCTCTCAGAATCACAAGCTGAAGATGAGCTTTTCTGAAACCTTGAGACGTTAACGCTCAGGTTCTCCTGTTGTCTGGTTCTGGTTCTGGTTCCTGAGAGGAAACTCTGACTGACCTCCTCTCTCTGAGGCCTTGAGACGCGGCTATTAACCGTTACGCCTCTGTTTTTCCTCTCAGCCAGACACATTCCTACTGACCTACCCAGTGATGCAAACCTCCTCAGTAAAAACACTTTTCACCGCCAAGCGCCTGCCAGGCGGCCAGATGAGCTGCAAACCACCAAGAACCGAAGGATTTACATCATGTAGTGACGTAACCTCTGACCTTCAGTCATTCTGCCAAAATTACCAACAATATCAATAATAGTAACATCCTGTTAATGAGCTCAGCATTCAGAAATGCTGAAATGTTCAGTTATAAATGGATTATTGATCTGTGCAGCAACACACTGCCAGCCAGCAGGCTGAAAGAACCCTCCTTCACTTTCCTGAGGAAATATAACAATTCCTGTCCCTAAAAAAGTTCTAACTCTAACGTATCAGACTCAATAAACACCAGAAACCAGTTACGGGTTTAGATTCATTGGACGCCTCATCCAAATCTATATCTAACAGGTTTGGTAACAATTCTTGCTTCAGACATAACCTCTGATGTAAATATCATGAAGATGGAAGGTATTACTGATGTTTATCAAACTGGAGCAGGACGATGAGGAAGGGGAGCAGGACGATGAGGAAGAGGAGCAGGACGATGAGGAAGAGGAGCAGGATGATGAGGAAGGGAGCAGGATGATGAGGAAGAGGAGCAGGACGATGAGGAAGAGGAGCAGGATGATGAGGAAGAGGAGCAGGACGATGAGGAAGAGGAGCAGGATGATGAGGAAGAGGAGCAGGACGATGAGGAAGAGGAGCAGGATGATGAGGAAGAGGAGCAGGACGATGAGGAAGAGGAGCAGGACGATGAGGAAGAGGAGCAGGACAATGAGGAAGAGGAGCAGGACAATGAGGAAGAGGAGCAGGACGATGAGGAAGAGGAGCAGGACGATGAGGAAGAGGAGCAGGTCGATGAGGAAGAGGAGCAGGACGATGAGGAAGAGGAGCAGGACGATGAGGAAGAGGAGCAGGACGATGAGGAAGAGGAGTAAGATGGAAAAGTGAAGGAAAGCTGAGATGAAACTTTGAGACAACTCTGATCATGATGATGTTTCTTTACATGATCAGTGTGCCCCCGAGTGACCTCACCAAGAGAGAAACAGACACCCTGACCTCCACCCTGACCTCCACCCTGACCTTCACCCTGACCTTAAGGTTGGAAGACTCCATTTGAGGCTTCAGGTCTGGAACAACCCGTACGGTTCACGGCTTCCAGAGCCTTCTTAACCCAGAAAAACTTTCCTTAATGGCGATGCTCTCTCTTACACACACACACGCACGCACACACACACGCACACACACGCACACACGCACACACACACGCACACATACACACACATACACACACACACACACATACACACACACATACACGCACGCGCACACACACACACATACACACACACACACATACACACACACATACACGCACGCGCACACACACACACACACACATACACACACACACACACACACACACACACACACATACACACACACAGGAAGCTTCATTGCTCACAGATGCAATGAGGGAAAGTTTAACTCTGTGTTTGTGTACAAACCAGAATGGAGGAAAGTGGCCCAAACTGGCCTCAATCCCAATTTCCCAGTTGACAGATTAAGAATCGTCTGCATAAATCAGAGAAGTACGGAAGACAATTAGTGCCACTGAAAAAGAAAAATTCTGACTTTTTTTGTCAAAATCAAAATTGTTGAAATTATTTATGCAGCATCAGAAAAATCTAGTCTGAAAACTCAAACCTACCAAATTAATTTGTGAAAGGCTTTCAGTGTGGATAAGTTCACAAATTTTACGACAAGGAAAACAAAAGTTTTGCGATTATTTCTGTATACTAACATAACTGAAATACATAGATGAATATTTGGTTATTTACTTGAATTTTGACATAGATTGACACAGAATTAGTTTAATGAGATGAAAGTCCCTTCTCTCCCTCCATAGCGCAGCATAGCATTAGCATTAGCATTAGCAGGCCTCTGCACTATCCGCCATGTCTCTGCTGGTTCTGCTGCTTGCGGCTCTGGATCACAGAGTCGATGGAGGCCCCCGGAGCCTGCAGCAGGACAGCAGCTTGGAATTAAACTGATTTTCTGCTCCAAACACTCGACCGTCTCCCTGCAGCCGCAGGAGACACAAGAAGTACTTGAACGCAGCCTTCAACACATTGTTCCATTTTGATCCAGTTTTTCTCGTAATTCTTAAAACAAAACGTTGTTCCTGCAGCTGAAAGGAGAGAGACATTTCTGAGACACAAACGTTATACTGAATTCTGAATATGTTCATTAAAGAACAAAACTTTCCCTGTTTCCTGGAAGCCCTTCATGGCTTTGGCATGTTCACTGATAGTCTTTAGAAGAATGTGAAAACACAGATAGTGTGAGATCTGAAGTTTTAGGTGGATCACTGCAGAAAAACCTTTCGCCATGAAACTCTGCAAGTTTTTATCCAAAGCTGGAATTTACTTTTAAAAGCAGCTTTTGGGTCATAAATAAGACATAAAGCTTGTTTCTTCCGAAGGACTCGGTCAGTCACCGGGAATAATCTGCTGATCCACCAGATTCCATCCAGGTTCCAGCAGGCAGGTTGAGGTATAAACTTTGGCTCCAAACTGACATTTTAAAGGATCCCTAAAGAGAACGAACCATAAAACTCCACCACCTTCCAAAACCTCTGTGTGTCTGGGATGCTGTGTTCTCCTCTGGTTAGCGTCGCTCCAGCCGCTAATGCAGCTCAGACATTTCTGGAGAGGAGCCGAGGCGGTGCGCTCAGCGCCGCACGCCAGAGGACATGCTGGACTTGGAACCAAGTGTGTAAAGTTGGATCAGAGCTTCATAAGACCTTCACTGACAGACCAACCACGAAGCCTCCGACCCGACCGCCACCGCATGCCTGCTGAGGACGGAGAGGAAGCATGGAAATCAGCCCAGGGTTCCTTCAAAGCTGCAGCTCTGGCATTCTTCACTGCTTACACATGAACTAACTCCATTATTTACATCTTGTCTTGACTTGGTGAAAGGAGCTGTATTTCTTGCTCTTCACAGAAAAAGACAGAGGTTATTACATTCTATTTTTGCAGTGTGCTTGATCTTGAATGTAGAAAATGACACAAGACAAATAGATTTTCCTTCCATGTTCAGCCTGTTCTGGTGTTTCAGGAGGTTTACAGATCATTAATCTGGTTCTTCATAGAGAGCAGAGCCAGCAGATTAAAGACAAGCGTGTGACCCGGTTCCAGTTCTACCAGCAGAACCAGAACCTTCAGACTGACAACAATAATCTGCAGAGCAGGAAACTGGAAACAAGCAGGCTGCGTTCACACCAGCTCTAGTTAATTCGCTTTAATCCGACTCTGGTCAGCTTTAATTCTAGCTAGCTCCAAAATGACAACACATTCCTGTTTCATGACGCTCCAGACGGTGGAATAAAGAGGTTCTGATAACTTTTAATATCCTTGTTTTCCTCCCAACTTCACCAAGTTAAACTCAGGCTTAAAATATTCATTGTAAGGAATTGTTAATAAGTGCAAAATTAAAGAGACTTACAGAAAAGTGGGAAAACTTTCCGTATGAACGTTTAAATGAACTAATTATTTTCTGTTTTTTGTCTTTCACGCAGGAGTTTAATGCCTCGGACTCTGGAGGGCCAGATCACCATGGAAAAGACTCCAAGTTACTTCATCACCAGAGAAGCTCCGCGGCGCGTCCACGCCATGAGCCGCCACACCAAACTCATCGTGGTGGTGCGAGACCCAGTGACCCGGGCCATCTCTGACTACACCCAGACGCTGTCCAAATCTCCTGGGCTTCCGCCGTTCCAGAACCTGGCCTTCCGCAATGACAGCACGGCGCTCATCGACACGTCCTGGAGCGCCGTACGCATCGGCATCTACGCCAAGCACCTGGAGAACTGGCTGCGCTACTTTCCTCTGTCGCGCTTCCTGTTTGTAAGTGGGGAGCGGCTGGTGACGGACCCGGCGGGGGAGATGGGCAGAGTCCAGGACTTTCTGGGCCTCAAACGCGTGGTGACGGACAAACACTTCTACTTCAACCAGACCAAAGGTTTTCCCTGCTTGAAGAAGCCTGAGGGCAGCAGCCGGCCACGCTGCCTGGGCAAGTCGAAGGGTAGACCGCATCCTCAGATACCGCCTGAGGCTCTGCTCAGGCTCAGAGACTTCTACAGACCCTTTAACCTCAAGTTCTACCAAATGACCGGCCAAGACTTTGGCTGGAGCTGAACGGCGCCACCAACGTCCGCCATCTGTCAATGCCAGCCTGGCTGTGAAGCTTTTCCAAAGAGACTTTTAGGTCCTCAAGGTCCTTGCAGAAGTTATCCTTATTGATTCCACTGAGCGGTCCGATATGGGCCGGCTTGGTTCGGTTCTGCATTTTATGCCCAGTGTGTTCACCGCCACTGGGCCGGCAGGGTGAGACCCAAACACCCAACCTGATGTCATAACAGTAGCGTCTCTCTGACTATCCCACGCAGTGACGCTTTCCTGTCGCCCAATCAAAGGGCTGCATTGTGTGACATCAGAAACTCTTCCCTAACCGGACCTGCACCTGGTGCGGTACCAGTCGGTTGTCTGGGTTGCTCTAGAACCAGACGGAACATCAGCGATGAAAAAAAACTATTCTCATAAAAGTCCAGAGTTTCAGAAGTGATTCAGAATCACTTGGGAAAAAATGAAAATAAATCCGCCGTCTGTGCGCCTCCATTTTGTAACGATCTGACGTTGCTACGGAGACAGGACTGGAACATAAACAGTACCAAAACAAAGAAAAACTATGGAAACAAAAGATTAGGGTTAGGGTTAGGGTTAGGGTTGGTCCGGCCATGAAAGGAAACATTTGGACTAAAGGTCAGAGCTAAAGGTCAGAGCTAAAGGTCAGAGCTAAAGGTCAGAGCTAAAGGTTAGAGCTAAAGGTCAGAGCTAAAGGTCAGAGCTAAAGGTCAGAGCTAAAGGTCAGAGCTAAAGGTCAGAGCTAAAGGTTAGAGCTAAAGGTCAGAGCTAAAGGTCAGAGCTAAAGGTTAGAGCTAAAGGTCAGAGCTAAAGGTCAGAGCTAAAGGTCAGAGCTAAAGGTGATTGGTCAGAAGGTTGTGGGTGGGGCGTTATCTTTTAAGGAACGCTCATCCAACTTGGTGAGGGAAATATCAATATTTTTTGCAGTTCCTTTCTAAATAACTCCAAACACTAAAAACTCCTGGATGGAAATGGAAACATCAGAAGTTCCAGGTGTTTGGAATCAAAAATTGATTTGAATCAAAGGTGAGTTAGTAAAAGGTTCCCACCCCAATGAACTATTGTACTGACCCAACCCGACCCAACCCGAAACATTACAACCTTGTTTAAACTAGTAGTTCTTGAGCCTCGTCAGTACAACTGACGTCCTAGTCAAATCCCTCAGAACCACTGAGAAACACAAGCCACAGAGACACAAACACTACTTTAACAAAAGTTCAAACTTCCAGCCTTCAAAGAGCTGAAAGTACGATGACCTGTCAAAATAAAAGCACACATAAAGTTAATCTGTGGGTCAAAGGGCTAATGGACACGAACAGAACCACACAAACCAAGACATGGTACTTTCACAATAAAAGCACATAGGTTGGGGATCAATCCAGGTGCCTACAGTTATATGGAAAAAATATTTTACTATTTCAAAGTGAATAACTTTTAAAGTTTAGTTCTTTATGAATGAAGGAAGTACTCTTGGTCCAAACAGGTTCCTGACATGCAAACAAACGTTTCCTCTTCAGCTTCACTTATTTACAGACCTGAACAAAAACTCCCAGCTGTTCCTGGTGCTCAGATATGCAACTTTGTATTTTTGTAAAACCTAATTTATTAGAAAACAAACTGTTGTAGAGGTGTTTTTTTGTGTCTGATTTTCTTATTTAAGTGAAATTGTGACTAAAACTTTTAGGGTCATTTATCCGGAGAAACCATCACTTCCTTCTGTTTGTATCGATTTCAGACCAGTTCATGCTGCCGCTGCCGAAAACAAAATCTACATCTGCCGGGCAGGTGACTTTGCCCTGCAGGGCAGCAGGATGACGACGACTTCAGTCATTGACAGCATGTTTACTGAAACGTTCCTGAAGCGTGGCGTTAATCTCCCGACAGGAAGTCAGAGACGGCGGCTGGAAGGCAGAAGCCGCCGTCCATCAGCTCCTGTAACTTAATGCGTCTCCGTCCTGCATTAGCTGGATCTTCTGAGAGAAACGTGGAAGTGCTTCTGGGTTTCAAGCGGATCCATCTGCTATGTAAGAGTCAAACAGCAAGGACTTCAACTGACTTTAATATAAAATAAGAGAAAAGGAACATCACTAAACTACATTTGCAGCTGACGACATCTCTGCTACTTTTCACTCACATCTTTAACTGGCGATCCGGTAATTAAAGGGATAGTTTACCTTTTTAAGTGACGTTTATTGGCAGTGATAAGACATAAAAAGGTTATAAAAAGTTCAGAGATCCTACTGGATTCTAGTTTTTAGTTTTGTGAACATTCTACAAATTTTAATTAACTTCAGTTTATTACGATAGCGACATTTCACAACAAATGTCGACTTGAGGCACTTTAAAAAATATATTGAAACTATTCACAGTTATAAATCCATGCTTCAAGTTCAGGTTATTAATCAAATTAGTTTGAAATGTTTGTATCTACGGAAACCCAGCAGAGCATCGAGTTGTTATGCAGCATCACTCCTCCTGACCAGCAGGGGGCGACATGGGAAGGAAAAACTTCCCTTAAACAGGAAGAAACCTCCAGCAGAACCTGAACCAGGTTCAGAACCAGCAGAGAACCAGCTTCATGTCAGCCCGAACCAGAACGGCAGATCCAACTTGTGTTTTAGGCAAAATAATGCAGAACTGAAGAAACTTACAAGGACAGTAAGTTTCGAAATGTGCAGAGACACATAAAAATTGAATCCTAAACGTCACGTTTAGAGAATTCATCGGCAAAAAAAAGGTTGATTCAGGGCTTAGTTACAGCTTAAAGCCTCATCAGGGCGTCTGCCTCACAGACTGAACCTGTTTGCTGAAGTATCTGCTAACAGTTTCATTCTACAGCAGCAGCCAACAGGACCAAGCCTGCAGCATGAGAGCTAACATTTATTAGCATTTATCAAACACGGTGATGCTGAAAACCGCCGTCTTTCCTCATCCTCGCTGCAGTTTGTCCCGGCTAACACAGGAAACATTAGCTGGTCAGACGTGAAGTTGACACAAGACTGGAAGTTCTGATGCGTCAGCATTTAATTCATCTCTGACCTCTGACCTCTCAGTTGACCTGTGAACCAGGCTGCCATAAACAGCTGAGTGCTCTGGCCAGGCTGGTAAATGGAGGCACACACACACACACACACACACACACACACACACACACACACACACACACACACACACACACACACACACACACACACACACCTGATCACACACAGGCATGCAGCAGCTCCGTCCTGCTCCACTGATATTGCGATGTGTCGGCGGCATGCAGGGATCGATGCGCGTCCGTTTAGTTTATCGCTGGTCGGCAGCATGTTGCTTTGATTTAACGCTGAGGTCAAGCAGGGGTCACTGGCGTCTACCTGTAAAATTGTATTTTTACCTGATAAACGATCAATCTGAGTGCTGGACACGGACCTCAATCTTTTTAAGATTATAGTGTCAGACTGGAGCTTCTGTCACGTTCATATTTCTGTTTATAGTCATTAATTTAAGGTTTAAATTCATTTCAGAATAAAATCAAGATAATACAGAACTGAATAGTTTTCGCGTGACAAAAACATTGTAGCTGGCAGCCATCTTGATAGATATGAGCATGCTCTCTGCATGTGATGTCACGGCGCGCTCGCCTGCGCATGCAGAACTCATTTAGGTCATTTGTGAACGACCACATACACAAAAATCAGATTTCACAAAAAATCTGTCTTGTTCATTAAGACCTGCAGTGTGTTCTTACGGAGGCCTGCAGGGGACATGGACAGTTTTCCTTTTGCGTTCCCTTGCAATGATCTACTGATCAGTTATGTGGCATAGTTAAATCCTGTCAGCCCTTCTTGCAGCAGCCGATGGACTTTCTGCTTTAATAAAACGTTATGTGAGGTTTTTCCATGAATGTTCATATCTCCTAGTGAAATATCTGACATTTTATATATTTTCTTTTGGGATAGAAAAGCACCAAAAACCCGATATAAACAGAAACTTTCTCCAAGTAGGAAAGAAATAAAAATACATCCAAACTATTTGGACTATTTCTGAGTTATTATCTGACAGTTTTGATTGTGTCTCTGTTGTGCTGGTCTGAGATATTAACATAACCGTGTACTGAAGCAGAAAGTATGGCAGCCTGTAGGAAAAGCTTGCAGGATTTAATTATGCCACATGAGCTGATCAGTGAAGGTAAAATAATTTATTTCCCATGTCCCCTGCAGGGCTCCATAGGTTCTAGCCTAACAGTTGCTATGACAACAATAAACAAACCGCAAGTAGCTCTGGTCCTATAAAGTCCTTCTAAACAATATAAGTACTAAAGAAGTACTTCAGTTTTAATCGTCAGTGATATTTACTGCAGTACTTTCTGCAGAACTAGCACCGATAGCTTAGCTACTGTAGCTTCTACCTGCTAGCTAGCATGTAGCCTACTGTAGCTTCTACCTGCTAGCTAGCATGTAGCCTACTGTAGCTTCTACCTGCTAGCTAGCATGTAGCCTACTGTAGCTTCTACCTGCTAGCTAGCATGTAGCCTACTGTAGCTTCTACCTGCTAGCTAGCATGTAGCCTACTGTAGCTTCTATCTGCTAGCTAGCATGTAGCCTACTGTAGCTTCTACCTGCTAGCTAGCATGTAGCCTACTGTAGCTTCTATCTGCTAGCTAGCATGTAGCCTACTGTAGCTTCTACCTGCTAGCTAGCATGTAGCCTACTGTAGCTTCTACCTGCTAGCTAGCTTTTAGCCTACTGTAGCTTCTATCTGCTAGCTAGCATGTAGCCTACTGTAGCTTCTATCTGCTAGCTAGCATGTAGCCTACTGTAGTTTCTATCTGCTAGATAGCATGTAGCCTACTGTAGCTTCTACCTGCTAGCTAGCTTTTAGCCTACTGTAGCTTCTATCCGCTAGCTAGCATGTAGCCTACTGCAGTTACTCCATGCAGTCCCTCTGCCGGTCGGCAGAACCTCATGTTTGACACCAAGAGTTTGTACGTCCTCTAGGAATCCGTCTGAACTTTGAGTGTCTGGATTTGAGGCTGTGAATCTCCTCCATGCTGGATAAACTCTTCCTGGTCACTAAGCAGTGAACTTTGACCCAGAGGAGGTCAGAGGCAGCTCGTTGGC